CTGAGAAAGTCACTTTGTGAGAAAATTCTGACGATATTCATGATATCTATAATAGTATGTCATTGGTGTGTGTAGATTGCAGGTGGGGCCTGTTCATGTCAACCGTTGTTTACAGTCTAGTGAGTGTTTGACTGACTACAATTACTGCCTTCTTTCACTGACAGCTAACCAGATACCTTACCTAGGTGTTATGTCTCAAGTCTATCATAAGAAGCATATGACTACGCCATAATGCATCTAACATTGCTCAAAGTCATTGGACAAACGGAACACCTCAAGCAAAAGACCTTCTCAATACCTCCTCAACTATACCTAACTACCATGCCAACCTAAACCAGCTTCAAGTACGAAAACGACATGGACCCCGTCAATATGCACACGCCGGACACAATCTCTCATCCAGGCACAGCAACGCAAAGCCCAAGTCTAGGCACAGCAACGCAAAGACCAAGTCCATCCATCCAGGAAACAACGCGGAGAAACAACCTCTACAATCCCTACCATACAAGACACACATAATCCCACATCTCGGACATTCATCCATTCACCCACCCATCCACGACGCAATACCCCACCGTACATTTTCCAAATGCAGCAGAGGCTGAACGGCATCCGTGTCGGAAGGCAAAAGCAAGCAGCTCTTGACTTTGCCTTGCATAAGCGATGACCGAACCCTGTCCCGTCCGCCCGGCCGCCGGGATGCTGTTCCCTCCGCAGTGGGAGTTGTTGCGGATCCCATTAATATTCCGACGTTCGTCCGCTAAACTCTAACAGCTGCTTGCAGTCGGGAGCGGATGTTTGAGGTGTGCTTTGTGACTTACTGCGGATACGACTGGTCTGTGTGTCTGGGTGTGGTGGAGTTGGATGGATGGCTGTGCTAGGTATAGTATATCTGCTATAGGACGGTAGAGTGAGCGAGTGAGTGCCCGGCAGGAACAACATCCAGTTATAGGCCTGATCCGCGTCTACTATCTTGATACAATCCTAGTAGACTATCGCATAGTCATGATCAACCGGAGTATATACACCGGGGCGTATTAACCGAGGGTCGGTTCGGCATGTACAAGATGGACACTTGCCTAAGACCTAAGTATACATATATCATCCATATACACTACATCAGAATGTAGACACTAACCAGGTTAAGATCTAGATTCAATGCAACGCCAACCAACACCGCCCCTGGCAGATTGCCCCGACTGGATGCATTTACCCTAGGCGCGGTACTGGGATCCTTTAGCGGTAAACTAGGTTGGTGGTTAATTAATCCGAGACACGGGAGTTTCTATTTACTGATGTAGGTCTGTGGCATGTGTTTGAACACTATATAGATACTGTTCTCACTGCATGGGAAGTAATATATGCGATGGCGATTGAGGATGGACTACTGCGTATAATGCATATATTATACTTATAGCAATCTCCCAATGGTTTACACCAGTGGCTTGCAGTCTCTCGAGCAATCTAAAACAGCCGCCCAGCCAAGACAACGATACATCCGCGACGGAACCGATGCCGTGTTAAGAGCCGGTGAGTGGGAGGTAGGATCTACCTACTTATTGGCGATCCTGGCCGTTAGGTGGTAGTACCTAGTGCTGTAGTACTCCGTGGGTGGTAGCAATAAGTAGTATGTACCAAGTGTCAGTAATGGGTCGTATCTTATTTACCCTCATTATCCTATATTTATCCAATATCCACGATTGACATGAACGACAATAGTACGGAGTACTCTGTAAACAAACATCAATATACATGCATGCACTACACGCATACCACCTAAATCTATATAAATATACTGCAACGTAACTACCACCTACCTAGTACCTACCTACCATGTCCCCAAGATCTACCCTAGTCACCCATCCACCCAATATCTCTCTAATATAACCTAAATACCACCTACTAGACTACCACCACATCATCCCTACCCCTACACCAACAATCCAAAACACAAGATAAACCGACGATCCCTTGATCCGATCAGCCGCCCCCGGCTAATAGTCCCCAAATCAATCCTCATTCAAACAGAACCAAATTAATCCAATTCACCACCACTTACGTTGGACTCTCGGCGTCCTCGGGGAGTAGGCACGTACTACCTTATATTATATTACTTCCTCTTCCTTACTTTCTCCGCTCCCCGGCTCCCTCCCTCCCTCCCTCCCCTCCCCTTTAACTGTTTTGGGTATGTATAGCGAGCGGTCTTATACCCCCTCTTCTTCTCTCCTCACTCTTCCCCACTAATCATCTTCCTGATTCCTTGGGGTTTGGTCGATTGACTCTGTCAGTCATTAGTCACCGCTACCAACTACTGCTGCTGCTAACTCCGCGGATGGGCGCAGTGTACCTTTTTCTAATACTTTCATACATCTATTTATTTATTCCATTTTACATGATATAGTATGATATATTCGCACTCGGTTACCCCCGAATAGATCTGGACATACACAGTCGCCAATCGGACAATTCACGCGTATTTGCGACCATATCCTACCTATGGACTCCGTAAGTCCCAGTATGCGGGGAACAAATAAACACCCTAATTCCATGACCATTAATCATGCCCACTAGGTGGATATGTATGGTACCCCGAGACGGAGTGAAGACGGAGAAACGGCCGTGTTGGTTTCCAGAGTCGGACTCCGTTTATTATCCTATTTTTACTTTACTGTTACTAAATAAATAATGCATCCTTATTATTATTACATTTCTAGTGTTTTATTTTTATTTTATTGTTCTTGCTGTGTTAACTGTAGACTCGTGTACACATTGGCTTAGGTAGCTTATAACTAGGTAGGTGATTAGTTGCGGTTGTTCCGGGATTGGTTGGGTGTTGATTGTGGGACTGATGGTTTAAACGGTCAATATGATGATGATGCTGATGTTGATGATTCTAAGCTATAGAACTTCATTATGAATGGTTGGAAAACATGAAGAGTTCGAAAAACAATCTGTGGTTATCACCGCAAGTCAGCTGAACGCTGACCGTTTGCATGTCTCTCAATTCTACTTTTTATAATCTAATTATCTACCTTGACGAAGATTACCTGTCAATGTGCCAGGACGATTGGTAAAGGTCCTGGTGATAACCAAAGCAAAGTGGAGTAATCTACTACGGAAATACTGTTGCTACAGTGCTACAGATATAAAATCACATGGTATCATTACAGCTGTTTGCAAATTATTCATTTGCTTCGGCTAAACATTTTTAAATAAACCCTATCTCGTCACTAACCGACCCAACACGATGGAAAGAAACCCTAGTTCTGGTGCAGAGTGGCGATGAAGTCCTTGGAGGCAGCGCCCTGGGAGCCACCGGAAGGCTTCTGGCCGAGCTTCTCCTTGGAGAAAGCAGCAGCGTAGGGGTTGAGGCGGAGCATGACCTGCTTGTTGCGGAGGGGGTTCTTCTTCTGGACGGCGACGCGCTTGGTGCGGGCCTCGCCCTTGGGGGCGCGGAGCACGGACTGCACCTCGGAGGAGTTGATCAGACGGCTGATGTCGGCGTTGGCGACCAGGTTGGAGGGCAGGTAGAAGTCCTTCTTGAGGGCGGACGGGGTGGTGGTGGTGCCGTAGATCTGGTCGAGGGCCTGGAAGGCGGAGGAGGACCAGACGACGAAGCGGCCGAGGTGGCCACCGGGGGCGAGCTGGAGCAGGTTCAGGGCGAAGACGTCGCAGGTCTCAACACCGGGGATGTTGCGGAAGGCGCGGACGAGCTCCTTGCCGTCGGTCTCGGGGTTGTAGACGACCAGGGGGCCGCGGCGCTGGCGGTGGCGGCGGTTACGCAGCTTACCCTTACCGGCGCGGGTCTTCTTGGACTTGTTGACCTTGACCAGCTCGGCGCCGGCGCCAAGGGCCTGCAGGAGAGCGATGGCGGCCCTAGTCTTGGTGAGGGCGGCACCCTCGAAGGTCTTGGACTCAACGACCAGGGGGACCTCGGGGATGTTGGCGACGCGGTGACCGCGGGCGAACAGGAGCGCGGGGACGGAAGAAGCGGCCAGAGCGGAGGCGGTAGCAAAGCGTCTGTTTTCCAGTCAATATCTTCCATCACCTTAACTTTCTCCTTCTCTGAGATGGATATACCTCTGGTTCACGTTGATCTTCTGGTGCCACTTGCGCCACACCTTGGTGGGAGCGAACATGCGACCGGAACGGCACTGGTTACCGAAGGCAGCCTGACCGGCACGGTGAGTACCACCACCGGAGACACGGGGGATACGAGCGACAGCGCGACCTGAAAACATCAAAATCAACCTCCAATTCCAACCTTCCAGTCCAGAATTTTCAACATACCGGTACCCCAAGACTCAGCAGAGGTCTGTTCACCAGCCTTCTCGCTCACAGCATAGGGCTGTCTCTTGTTCTTGGCCATGCCGGTGTGCACCTGCCTGTAAAACCCATTAGCCTCACCTCCCCTTCAATTCCTCATATTCCTCATATCCATCACAATTCCCCCAACGTACTGGACAATATCCGGGCGGATAGGCGCATTGAAAACAGCCGGCAGGGTAGCGGTAGCCCCGCTGGGCTTACCCTCAGCCGTGGCGATGGAGACGGTAGGACGAGACGCCATTTTTGTCGTGTCGACGGGTGTGAGGGTGGTCGATGTCGTCGTTATTCAGGGATTGAAGATCGAAGCTCACCAGGTGCGGGTGCGAAATTTTTCGCCTAGTGTTGGTTTGGTGGGTTCCAGGAATGCCCTAAACCCTGATTACTACTTTGAGCTTAGGCTACCGAGGGAGGCCCATTGTGTCTTGGCGTGTATTATGTAATATAATACTGCCGTCTGGTACCGCCTTACTCGGAACTCAGTCAACGTCCATACTTCGTTGTTTATCAACATGGACGGACTGTTTAGACAGACATGGCTAGTCCTGACGGTAGATCCATATACGTGCAAATATTACTAGTGCCAGTGAAAAGAATGCAGTTCCAAATCCCGAAACCGAACTTACATCCTATTAACCTACAGACAACTACACATCTACTAACTACAGACTCCGTATTGATGATGTTCACTCCAGATCTATTCTCTTCCTATTCCATCCCCAAAGATCACACGGCTAGATAAAAATGTACATACAGAAGAGAATGAAATTCAAGAAAAGTCCCTCACAAAGCCGGCCCGATGCCCCGCGACAGGGAACGAAGAACTCAAGACGTCGTCAAAAAGGCCAAGTTGACTCCTCTCTCCCCCTCGTTCTCCCGACCGGCGGGAGAGAGAGGAGGGAAGAGAGATAAGAGGTGGACGCTTAGGCGTGGTGGCCTCCATGAGCACGTCGGGCGTGACGCATCGCGGAGAGCATCCGGGGCTTGAGGGCCGTCACGGACAGGTTCTGAGTCTGCCCGGCCTCGCACTGGGTGCCGGCGGCCATGGGCTGCACTTCCGACCACTGACCGGAGGCGCAGCGCTGGAAGGAGGAGCCGTCGACGCAGTTCCAGAGACCCTCCTCGTCGCAGGCGCCGGTCAGGCTGCCCTCGGAGGAGCCCTTGGCGGGAGGGGTCGTGGCGGAAGGCTCGGGCTGAGCGGGCTCGGTGGGCTCGGCGGGCTCGGCGGGCTCAGCGGGGGCGGTAGGGCTGCTCGTGGCAGAGTCGGTGGGAGCAAAGACGCCAGGAGCGGGAGCCTCGGTCGCACCGCCGCTGGGCTTGGTGGGCTCAGGAGCGCTGCCGGAGTCGGAGGAGCCACCGCTGGAACCACCAGAGCTGGAAGAGCCCTTCTTGGTGCCAGCGCCGGCGAAGGAAGGAGTGCCGCTGCAAGCGTCGTCGCCATCGGACGCGAGGTTGCTGGCGCTGCCGACACGGTCGACATATTCACCGGGGTTGGGGAAGCGGATGTCGACGCTCTCCTGGGTGGTGCAGCCGTTGACGTTGGCGACGAACATGGCGGGGAAGTTGGCAGAGCGCTTCTCGACGTCGCGCTTCTCCTGGACATCGCGCTTGGAGGAGCTGCCGCCCTCGACGGTGATGGGGGCGCAGTTCATGTACATCTCACGGTTGCCGACGCGGTTGAACCAGGTCCAGGCGAGAGTGTACTTGCCCTCTTCGATACCCTCAGGGATCTTGTAGGACAGCGAGCTTTCGGGGCCGGCGCCGCCCTCGGGGAGGTTGCCATCCACGTTGGCGGGGCAGCCGCCCTCGATGGACTTGATGACCATCCACTCGGAGTCCTTGGTGGGCTTGAGGTCCTTGGTCAGACTGACCTGGCAGGAACCACCGCCGTGGACAGCGGTACCGGTGAAGCTCAGGGGCATGGACTGGCCGATCTTGGCGGTGGTCTCCTCATCGGGGGCATCGTAGACACCGCTGCGCTGCTTGCAGGGGAAGTCACTGCCATCGGCCAGCAAAGGCGAGTTGTTGAGGGTGGCCGCGCCGTAGGGAGCGGGCTTGGCCATGATCATGTGAGCATTGGCGGCGGAAGCGCCGAGCAGAACGGCGGTAAGACCAGTCTTGTAAAACATTCTGCCGATTGTATTTTTTGTTTGTTTTTTTATTGGTGCAGTTGGCGAGATTCGCAAAAAAATGAGATACTGTTTGACAGTTGAAGAGAATGAGATGTCAAGTTCTGATCGTACCAGACGGATCAGAGAACAAGGACGGTGGTAATGGCTGAGCAAGAGCTGATAGGTATGAAGTTAGCATATAGGATGAAAGGAAAGATGGCTGCCCTAGTGGTGAAGCCGAGGATATATAGCCGGGGAGATCTGAATGATAGGACGGTCCCATCGGACCGACGATATAGATCCACACAAAGAAAGAGTGTACAATACCTTTTATTGTTGAAAGGACAGTCTCAATGAAATGAGTGACCGCGGATTGTCTGGAGGGGGAACGTTCTTTATTGTCCCTGGCACGAGGCGTGACAAAAAAAGGCTTAACAATGGAAGATTGCAAGGAATGGACAATAGGACAAGATCACTTGAACAGCCAAGAAAAAGAATGAAGCAAAGAGTTGACAGGAACTGGCCTGTAACGGAGTCAAACAGCAAAAAGCGAACCTGCAAGAAGGACTGAAACGCACCAGCGTGGATAGGAAGAAGGAAGGTAAAGGAAGCGCCGAGGATGAGTCGCGGGGAGGGGGTTGGGATTATATAGAGTCAGGGGGACTCTGATTTACTGGTATTAAGATTTTATTTTTTCCAGGCTTTACCGAGGAGAGAAAAAGCCCAAAACCCAAATGGAGTTTTTAAAACCAAAACTATAAAAAAATAAAATAAAAATAAAAATAAAAATCATAGGAAAAAAGGAGGAGATGCAGGGAGGTGTGTGTGGAGAGGGGGACAGTGACAGCAGAGAAGAGAGTGATGGATCCCCGATGGACCATTCATGGACCATTCATCAGGCAGCGCAGGCAGGACAATGCTTGTATGGACTCTAGTCAAGCGATGTGAAACCGCTAGCAGAGGATCCATACCGGACAGAGATATCTCGAGTTTATTTATATAAAAGTTATATTGATTTTCGTATTGAGATTGCCTAGCTAGTATCCCTATTATTGATTGATTCTATACTCACTATTCTCTCCTTTCTCTCTCTTTTACTCCGCTTCATACTCCTCTTTTCTACACAGCTATTGTTGGATTGATAGACCGATGAACATCGCTAAGTCAGTAGTAGTCAACACAGGCGGACGGGATAGCGCAAGGGATTGGCTGATCCAGGCTCGATTGGCGCCGCGGGACGGCATCCTCAGCGGATCCACCGCCAATCAGGGATGCATTGCCACGCTGGTCCGAGGAATTGCAAATATTTCGTCGAAGGGAAAGAAAAAAGAAAATAAGAATAATAATGATGATATTAATAAAGAAGAAACAGTACACAATTGATAAGATGAAAGAAAGATGAGATCTATCAATGTTACAATCCATCATAACCAGAACCATGTTACAACCCGTCCCAGGTACACTGACTGATCAACGCACTGTGGACAACGCTAACCATCCTCCAGAGTATAATTTCCACTCGAATACGTATCCATCCGGTACAGGAAAATGCCCCCAATGAGTCGATCTCATCCACCGCCAGCTGGACCCGTCGAGTCAGGTCCAACGTCAGGCCTCCATCTAGCCCTGGGGCTCTGGCCCCAATGTGGTGGCCAAATCGTACTCGGAAGTGATAGTTCCTATCCACATCGACCCCATACAAGGCGTCTCGTCAGGATGAGAGGAGAACGTTGTTACCTTCCCGTACCGCCGCAAGCCCTCCGCCCGTAATCGTAATTAATTCCCCGACGGGACCCGGGATTGTGGCGAAGGTTTCGAGACATGGGCAAGACTGAGCCACTCGGACTGTAAATCCAGGAACAGACGTTCAAAATAGAATTCTGATGCTGTAAGGGACGGGGACGGCGGACGGCGGACGGCGGTTGGTAATCAAGGAACGGTCTGTAAGGTACACTCACACACAGACACGTATGTACATCATATTGCGTCCATGTTTATACTTGACCTCAGCTGATGTCTTCCAGCCTCTCGCTCGCCTTGGTTCCGTTCGGATCTCTCCGCGCTGTAACCAGGGGGAACAATGGCAAAGGCCTGGAACGGAACCGAAGGTTGACTGCGGTGAGACAGTGGGGAACTCTGTACCCGTACCTGGTTCTTCACACATTATCTTATCCCTCGTTAGGTCATACAAACTTACAAAGGCATTATCAATATCAACCATGTCCAACTCACCACCCTCTATCCTATAATATGAAAGATCAAATGACCGGCATGTGACGAAAACACATACAATCAAACAATTAAATGAATGGAATGCCATGGTGGTATCCGATCCATCCCCAACGCCACGCTCCACTCCACAAAAACCACGCCGTCGGCGCCACCAACCAGACACCAAGGGAAAAAAAAAAAACTTCGATCGGCCCTCCGTGGCTGACGTTTCAGGTTGATTTCCTGTTCCATTGTTGAGCCCCCGCATCGGAGCCTCCTATAAGACGATAGAAATGGACCACTCCTAAGTACCTTAGGTGCCGAACAACCCCTCGAAGGCGGCACTACCTGACCTATCAGCTTCCTTGGGGCCTGAATCGGGCTTTTCGCCTCCACAATGATTTGTTCAGTCCGACCGTTAGCTTTGGAGATGGGACCTGAGTTTCTGTCTGGTCATCTCGTTCTTGGATTGTGATTTGTTTGGGTCGTTGGGCTGGTGCGGTCTAGGGGCTGGTTGGCACTCCGTATTTCATTTAGATTATAGTATGGAGCAGTTTTTCTTATATATCGTGGATATTGGGTAGTATCATCCTACGGAAGTCGTCCGACCAGTTGTGAAAAGTGATCTATCCGCCAGAGGATCGAAAGTTTCCGCCGTTATCCAGCGCCCTGTCTGAAAACTCAATAGAGGGGGTAAGAAGAATTTTTATCCCTCGTACTCCACATGTAGGAACAATGCACAATGAGGCAATTCCACCTACGAGCAGGGTTTGCCCCAATCACCAATCGGCCCGATCGAAAAGATAGGTAAGATTCCCAACCCACACCGGCGGCCACACTCGACAGATAGACCGATCGCCCTTGGATAATCGGTGATGCATCGATCGTCACGATCAAATGGTATCATCTTCAGTGTGTACGGAGTAGATAACTTCATGTTCGGTCGAACAGTATCCACAGAACTGTCCAGAAAATGTGATCCACCCGCGGAGAATCTCCAACGAACAGGAACAGCTGAGCCAAGACTTTCGAAGTGCATGTGTTCGTGTTGGGTCTGACGGGTTTCATAACATGTGTAGGTATCTATGGAGTACATTATACAGGAAACGCGCATTGGTTCTAGACACCTTCAGGCTTGCTTTTCATGAGTTTAATATATTGTTCTTGACCCGGGAGTAGGAGATGGTATCGTTTATGCGTTGGGAAATGCGGTCGCCTTCTGCCCCCAGTGAAGTAAAATATATAGCCGACTCGTCAATTCTTTCTCTACATATCTATATCTACTGGCACGGATCGATGAAAATGATCGAAGCATTGATAAATCGATAATCCTCTCCAAGTCTATGAAATAATAAGTTGTATAAAAGTCCAGAAGTCTACAGAAACACCGTCATAGGGTATATATATGTCAGCTGACACGTCTACCGATTACAATCACCGCTTCTACATGTCTCATTTAATTAATACCGCCAACACATTGAACAATCTATATTACCCAATTGAAATCAAATGCATACCACAGACGGTCTACCACATCTCTCGACCGAGTCTATATACAACCTATTCTCAAGTTTGATACTAGCATAAACCTCGCTACCTACACCACGGAACTCCACGGAATAGCTGTAGCCCATAAGTGGTCCAAAGCCACATGTGCCTGTCTAGACCTAGGCCCACTAGTTAGCACATGTACCGAGTAGAGTACGTGCAGTGTACGCCCGTTTTAATACAACCTAGTCCAGGGTGGCTGGCAGGAGGCTGGCTAAGCACTCACTTGCGTAGTAGCCCGAGGTTCCTGCATCTCACTGCTCGAGGTGAGGTACAGTCCCACGCCCACCACCAGCCCTCCCCAACAAGTATGTGAATCTTGTAATCCACAGCATCGAACCACTGCAGGACTGTACAAGCCCGCTGGATCCACATACAAAGCCACGCAGAGATATCGCGTCAAGATGTACGTAAGATGCCCCATAAACAGGGCAAGGCAGGTGGATCTTTGGGGCCAAAGGATTTGCCTCAGTAGTCGATCATTGTCGAGGACGCCACATGGATTGGATATACTGATGCTAATGTATCTGTACGGAATAGAAATTCATACTCTGAGTAGGTAGTCAACTAAGTCAATTATCTTCAGGGTAGGCTTTACTCTTTTGCTCGCAGAGCATTATTTATGCAGGTCCTCGTATTAGTAAGGATTTATCAACCACCTGAAGGTGGTATCAACAAAAAGCCAAAGCCTCTGACGAAAGTAAAGTTAAAACCAGCAAAACCGCGGCAAAAAAAGACCGTCTGTTTGACTGATAATAGTCGGATTCGAACGCACGACCCAAGAAATTAGAGTTGGAACTTGTTTTTGTTTGACCAGTCATTTTGATGTGTTGTTCCATATTGAGCCATCGCGGCCAAAGGCCGATTCTGTGCTCGCTTTTTGGTTGATGTAGTACAACAATGCTCAATACATTCTAAATTAATGAGATCCTTAATACTAAATGAGACCTTTCTTTTGCATGTTATTTTTTTTTTGGATCATCTGAATAACATGGGGTAACTGGTTATTTCCATGTACTACCACGGTGTCTCTGTACATGGCGGTTAATCCACGAGACCCCTTCCATACTCTAGTTCGAAGCGTGCCGAGGGCCCACTTAACGCATGTAAGGAGAGATATAATAAGCACGCGACTTCTATTTACTTCTCTAAATTGCCGTCTACTCCAGAGTATAATACACATGGATGTCTTCTATCGGTACTCGCACAGCCCCATACAAAGCACATGAATGGCCAGCCATCCACCAAAACCAAAACAACCCGCTGAAAGCACACCCCTCGCGCCAGGGGTTCACTCGTTGCCGAACGAACGAAGTAACACAATGTCTTGTCACATGGCATGTTCCATCCCATCCATCCCTTGGGGTTAGGTTTTGCGTCAAACAATCGGTTTTGGGCGAGGTGTGGCCTGATGCGATGCGATTGGTGGGTTTGTAGTAGGTAGGTCGTTAAGATGGATCATGTTTGGTTTCAGACTGTTTCTACCTAGCCGTGGACTTGAGGGGCGCGGTTCGAGGGTGCCTGAGTTGAGTCGCTGGTTGGGATTGGAATGGGCGGTTAGCCTTGTGGTTTGGACTGTCGCGTGGTGATGAAGTGAGGATATTCGTGGTGATTTGGTGTACTTCGAGGATGTAGATGTCGCACGTGGAAACTTCATCCTGGGCTGTTGCTGAAACTTCTGCGCTGTGTCTTTGGTGTCGGGTAGCACAGTCACTAAGAGTAGATCCGCTGCTGTCAGGCAGTCGAGTCGAGACGACTCGAGTCCGGCGCCAATCCAAACATCAACACCAAGGCGTCCACCAGTGAGGCACTTGAATCACCTCTTCCCCTTCTTCTTCCCCTTATCCTGACCACCACCGCCAGCACCCGTCTCCAAATTGAAACCCCCCTTCACCAACGCATCACGCCCAGCAGCATTGATAATGCGGAACCGATCCGGCCCCAGATGAATCCCACCATACCACCGCGTAACGACGACCACCACATCCCACACATCCATCAGCTGCATTAGATGTAGTAGCCGTCCCCCAGCGGCCGCCTCCCCGTCGTCGTCGAAATCCTGCACGATCATCACCTCACCGGCATCACCCCTGCCGCCCGCCCGCGTCTCCTTCACACGCCACGCGCTGATATTATGCGTCGCGGCGGCGACTTTCTTCTCTGTCGCTAGTAGGTGGTCGATGCAGGACTGGGCGTGCGCCCCGCTGTGGACGCGGGCTGCGCGCGCCACGAAGACGGACTTCTTCTCCGATATGACGTCTGAGAGGGTCCATTGGGGTGGGGGGTGGGTTTCGTTGAGTGCCTCCTCGTCCCTTGTCTCTTGTTCCTCCTCATCTACCCTCTCTTCTGCTTGTTGGTCGTGATGATTGGTATTGTCCGCGGCGACATCCTCGCCAATGCGCAATTCCCGGAAGGCATCACTGGCCTCGCTAATAAGGTCGAAGAGGCAGACGGCGCCCGGGTGGTGCACGCGAGCGAGCACGTCGTGTAGCGCGTCGACGGCGAGTTGGCCTTGGCCGCGGGCGGCGGTCGATGCGGTGCCGAGAATGCGCGGCGCGGTGTCGGGGTATGTGGTGTCGCAGGCGAGGAGGAAGGATAGGTGGGGGTGGTCGGGGAGTTGGAGGCGGAGGGTTGTCGCGGTGGGTTGTTGGTCTGTAGTGGTAGTGGTTGGGACGAGGGTGTCAGGGTCGTAGATGGCGTTTATGGCTTCGATTTCTTCGGCGAGGTCGGTGTTTTCCGACATATTGGTGGTTGGTTGGATAGGTAGTAATATGAAGTGCTGTTGGGATTGATTGAATGAATGAATTGTGGATGTCGCTGTTGCGCTTCGGGTGGAAAAACTTTCGGTCGCTGTCGCTATCCGATGTCACCGAATTGATGTCCACATTTGAAAGAATGATTGTTTACTTTAATGGTATGATGTCCATGAGAAAATCGTCAAACTACGACTTTCATGTCAACATTCCCCTCACTGTCACGTGAGCCTTTCGATGTCGCATTTTGATAATGGCCACACGAGAATGTATTCAATAGTACGATAACCCGGATCTGGAAATATGGCACTTGATACCGTATTCACTTCCAGTGGCTGTTCTATTGTACTCATCTGGTCTCCAATGTCTATTATTCACTAATATATACCAATCACACGCTAAAATTCGCGTTCTGCTGTCACTGGCTTGGGTCCTTAGGGAAGAGGCCCTGTTTCAATATATCAACCTATGCATGCTGATTCAGGTGGATGATAAAACGAGTATCTGCCTGATCGAGTTGAATCAGTCTATTTGCCCAGTTGATCCAATGCCCCTCCTATCTCCAGATACACGTCAAGTTATACAGGTTGCTACGCTGTACGGAGTAATGCCAAACAGCCTGGTACTGACCTAGAACCCTATATCTCATGTTGGTACTATCAAAGCTTGAACACGGACGGACAAGATCTGGATCAGGATTAGAATCTGGATCCGTAGCTTCCCAGCCAATGTTCAGCTCTAAACGATGAGCTCTGGTCTGGCATTCCTCTATCCATGGCTTCACATCAATCAGATGCATCTTCCACCAGACCCTGTCTTCGCCACCCAACTTTATTTCGATATTACGTCTCCAGTCCTGTGACAACCCCGCGGAATGATTGCCACCAAAGCAGTATTACTCGTATATATCGCGCGGAGGTCTACTAGGTCTTTTGACACTGAACAACCCTACATGTCCATACCCATCCACATACAGACAAACAGACATACAGCAAAATGTTCCCGGCACTTGTCGCTCGCTCCAGACAGCAGGTCATCAACCTGAGAAACAGACTCCAGGCGGTACGTCTCCCTTATGGACTCCATCCTAACCCAAACCAAACCAACAAAAACAGCCCCCAGACAGACGCCGCCCCACCTCTGGCCACATCCCTCTCTCCTCCCTACGCTACCAGTTACCCGCGTGGGTGACGGCCGGCGGAGGCATGTACGCGACGCTGCACGGGGTGTATCTGATGATGCGGGCGTTCCGGAATTTGCGATACATCTAGTAGGAAATTAGCAAATTGGATTGGCGTTTGGTTTGTCTTGTGATATGATCTGTGTAATTGCAGTCTTGGTTAAGCCAATTGAGTAGGGGGTGATTGTGGCGACGGATGTACCGTGGTCGGATAAGCCATGCGCTCGCTCTCAGGGTCTGGATTCAGCTCCACATAGGAAGGTTTGTGGGGTAGATGTTGCTCAGCGGCGAAGTGTGGTTGCATGGTGACGTCAATAACGATCGACATTTGTACTTCCCTGGGATCGTCGTATATAGATAGCTGGGAGCAGCTAGCTGTGGTGGGTTAGTCTTATCAGACCAATACATTATTGATTAAGAAATCAAAAACAGAAAGACAGATATTGATATCGATATAACCGCGAAAATGATGTCGAGAACCTCCCTCGCAAGGGGATTCAAACCACCCACTCCTTATACATCTCTCTTCCTCCGCACATACGCAGCGCCCTCCATGCCCCGACCAGACCCGCCCATCAACAACGGGCCTCTCTTTGGCAATCGTCCATTCATCCGTCACACTCTCAACCAATCTCCAGGACTATCACGACAGCATCTTCCCAAACAGCCCTCTCCTCCTCCCATACCACAATCAACACAATCAACAACAACAACACCAGCCCAATCACAACCAACCCCCCAACCAGTCTGGCACACCACCTCCCTATCAAGTACCCCCGAACCAACTCTCCTCAGCCTCTTCTTCGACAGACAAGCGCTCCACCCCTCCCCCGCCGAAACCGCCCAATTCGGCACCGACGACCAAGTAGCGCAGCACCCCTCCTCCTTCGACCCGAGCATTACAGCCCCGGAGCGGGAGTTCCTCGTGCTGGACGAGGAGTGTCGCGTGGTCGGCGAGACAGACCCGTTACTTGTCAGTCCTGCGAATCGCGAGGTGAGTCGGCTACTGAGTCCGACGGAGCTGGATCGGGCCGTGCAGGGGGGCGTGAAGATTGGGCCGAGTGCGAGGGGTTGGACGAATAAGCATGGGGCTGTTAGGGTTAGGGCGGTTTCGGTTCCTGGGGGAGCGAAGGAGGTGGAGATGGAGATGGGGACGGGGAAGGGGAAGGTGGAGGTGAAGGGGGGCAGGGGCATGAGTGTTGGGGGTAGGAGGGCGCTTGGGGTGGATCGGTATGAGAGGTTGCTGAGGGGGTTGAGGGAGGTGCAGAGGAAATCGCGAGGTGGGGTTGCGGGTTGATTCTTTTTCTTTCGTTTTTCGGTAGGGTTTATGGCGTTGATGCGTATGGCGTTTATGTGTGAATGACCCTAAACATGCGGGGGGATATGGATATGATGTTATGGGATATGGGATATGGCTACTATGATATGAGGTGGATATGATAAGGATGATACGGACGGACAATATGAACCACGAAAACAATGTATCAAGAACAGAATGCTCACGAATCACAAACATCAATGAAAAACATTAATTGACATCTTCCAACCCCTCTAAATCCTTCACCTGCCAAAAAGCTTTCATCCCATCCGTCACCCTCCTCGTAACACCCTCCACCTCCTCAGCCGGCATAGCCGCAAAACACAACCTAAAGAACGACGCCGCCTTCTCCACCACTGCCTCATCCGGCGCAAACATCGTCCCGGGACCCAGCAGACACAGATACGGCTCGCGCGTGAGCATCACCCACAGCGCACGTGTGAGCCTCGCCTCCGCATACTTGCCATGCAAGGGATGGTTCTCCAGACGCACGCGGAGCCACACGAACATGCCGCCTGCGGGCCGCGAGAATTCGTACATGGGGGTGCGCTCGATGCATTCCCATTCGTTATCCTCCTCGGTGTCGGTAACGGCGTTGTCGTTGATGTCGACGCTCAGTATGTGTTGCCCTTCTTCTAACGCCGTGCACATGTCTTGCATTCGGCGCTGGTAGCCTTCGCGGAGGCCCTCGAGCCAACGTACCCAGCCGTCCATGTGCCAGCCGCTGCTGCTGCTGGTACTACCCGCCTGCTGCCCCAATATCAACTCGGCGACCATCGCCTGCGTGAACCCCGACGGCTGCTGCGTCGTTGTCTCCGTGATGCGCGTCAGACGCTCGACGACGGCCGGCTGCGCTGTGATCCATCCGAGGCGGCAGCCGGGGGCGATCGTCTTGGAGAAGGTGTCGAGGCGGACGACGCGGCCATCTGTGTCGAGGGAGAGATATGACGGGGTGAGCGAGTCTAGGAAGGGGTATCCGGATGATGTGTGGGGGGGTGAGTGGGAGTTGGTGTCGTACTGCAGGTTCCAGTAGGGGTCGTCTTCGATCAGGATGATGTCGTATTTCTGGCAGATGGCGTAGAGCTCTTGTCTGCGGGGAATGGACTGGGTGCTTCCTGTGGGGTTTTGGCCGATTCTGCTGATGTTAGTCTTGTATACGTTTGTTAGATGAGGGCGGTCACATGTGCTGACATGCCCTAGACGGGATTGCATCCTTCTCTAAAAACACAAAAGCGAAAAGAGAAGAGAAAACCTACGTAATGGTATACAGTAAATGCGGTCTCCTCCCCCTCCGCTCATCCCAGTTCGCCAACACATCAGCCAATCCACCCTTCCCATGGGGTCTCAATCCCTGCGCGTCCAGCGCCACAGGGACAACATTAAGACCATGAGGCTTCACCTCCTGGATGGCATTCATGTAGACGAACTCCTCGCAGAGGACACCCTGACGGCGCGAGACGGGGTCCCGACCAGGAACCCAGGGCTCCGAAAACAAGTTGATAGCCTTGGCGAAGCCGTCGGTGGAGCCGCAGGTGAGGATGGTGTCGGGCCCGTCGGCATAGGGGACGTGCGGGTGGAGGTGGTCGCGGGTGAAGCGGCGGACGAATGAGGCCATTGGTGGGAGACCCTCTGCTGTGCCATATTGGAGGGCGGTTGCGAGGTCAATCCTATGCTGGGGGTCGGAGGTGGTTCTTTCTTTGGGGATGAGGATGCGGTTGGTGGGTTGGGTGGTTGTTGTGGAGGAGGAGGAGGTGGTGGTGGTGGGGAGGCGCTGGGGACGGGCGGTTTTGGCTTCGAGGGTGTCGTAGGGGAAGTAGGAGGCGTTTGGGAGACCTGTAGATTTTTATTAGGATGAATTGGCTGAAGTGAACAGAAGATAAGGTAAAATGGGAGTGGTACCGCCGGCTAGGTTGGCAATGCCTGGAATGAAGAAGTACTTGTACAGGTCTTTGATGTTGCTGGGTTCGCGTCGTTTGGCCGTCACGGAGAAATGATGGGAGAGGTCTTTAGGGGGTGATAGAGGCATGATGATATCAATTTCGATCGTGTTCTATTCTATCTCGCTCTGCGATTGATATTGTACCACTGGTTCTTTGTGAAGGGAAAAGTTAGACATAAATACACCAAGACCGTTCAAGATAACGGCGTTAACGTTGCTTGATAAGCATCAGTCTGGTTTGGATCTAGTCTAGTTTCAGGATCATCCACATCATTGGCAGTTGGACTTCGCCTGATCCGATGTCTTGAGTGGAGACCAGAGGGGCCGACTTAGACGAGGCTGACATGGCATCCATGGTTCATCCATCCATTCGCGGTCATGGAGTTGTAGCAACCACCTGTAATTGATGGATTGATGGACTTGAGAGGCGAGAGGATCCATACTATCATAGATAACTAGGCAGGTAGTAACTACCTATCCTCTACTCCGTACTCCGTACTATAATGATAATCTCCGAGCCCTAACGCTTCGTTAGTCAGGACCGTTAGATGAGGATCATCCATATGATGTCAGTCCAATTATAGCCTCACGATCAACCATCCGGGGGACCCCACTGATATCTATTAGAGTACCATTCAGTATTGTCTATCTAGGTATTCTTTCTGAAGAATCAGGACTATACATCTAAATGTATACACATCTATATAGGGACACAACAAGTACCCCAGAACAGACGGCCAGGAACGATGACATAAGCAGCGGTGATTGGCCACCACCGCCACCTGCCGATCTGTTCCGGTGACTCCAGTTCTTTCGCTTTCACGTCTGCCTTCATCTTCTGCTTCTCTTCTCTCTTCTCTTTCCCTCTTCTTCCTCACATCAGATCTCTCTTTTATCTACCCCTCGCTATCGTTATTCCTCATTGTCTCCCGGTTCGATCGTTTCTTATGTCCTTGTCGTCGGTCCGTTTCGTCTGTTCGTCCGACGCTTGTTAAGGTCCCTCTCCCCATCTCTCGTTCGACCAACGTTCTGTCCATACTCGTCTTCGCTTCGTCGTGCCCATCTCGTTCTCAAATCCGATTATATTGCCACCGATCTGTCTATTGAAGACGCAATATCGCCCACAGCATGTTTGGTGAAGGTCCCGAGGATGGCGCTCGGGTTTACATCCCACCGTTGTTGGATGACGAGACCCGCTCTACCGATGCCGACACCGAGCATCTCCTCCGTCCAGATGATGAAGCCGGGCATTATCTCCCCGTGTGGCTGACGGAGTCATCCAAGTCCTTCCGGTGGGGCTGGGTTCCCCTCCCCATCCGAAAGGCCGGTCGAGCCACCGCCAACTGGGTCAAGGGCCCCGATCCCCCGCATGATCTGCTCTTGAAACCCTTGCTCCCTCGCCTGCAGGAGATGCCCGTTCGCCTGCTCGACCGATTCTGTCCCAAACGCAAGCATAAGATCACCTTACTGTGTCTGCTATATCTGGTGTGGTTCTTGCCCTGGACCATCATTCTGCTGCACTCGCGGTCCGGGGGTCATATCGAGGGCTATGGAACGCCCCAGACCCTGTCCTGTTCGACGAGTTTCTGGTATGCATATCATCTTGCTCCCCTTTCACACAACCATCCGTATTGACCCAACCACAGGGAATCCGGCAACGAATGCGGTCTCAACGGAAATGACTGTCGACCCTTTTCCGCCGCTTCCATCCCCTTCCGGTGCCCCGCCAACTGCCGGGACGCCAAGCTGGGCGAATTCTATACCGTGGGCAACCAGACCTACAGCTATCAGGGTCTCGTTGTGGGCGGACCCGAGCCGGGTTCTGATGAACCTGGGGTCTATCGGGCCGACAGTTTTGTCTGTCAGGCCGCGATCCACGCCGGTGTCATCACTAACCGCGTTGGCGGATGTGGCGTGATCAAGCTCGGTGGCGCCGCGCACTCGTTCCCCGCCTCGGAGCGCAACGACATCAAGTCCGTCGGCTTCCCGTCCACGTTCCCCAAGTCATTCAGCTTCGTGTCGCTCTCCGATTCGCAGGAGACCTGCCCGCAGGATCCCCGCTGGACGCTGCTGGGCATCACGATCGGCGCCGTCGCGGCCCTGTGGTTCTTCTGCACCTCGCCCGCCGTTCTCTTCTTCAGCACGTTCTTCATGATTTTCTGCCAGACCGGTTTGGTGTCGGACCCGCCGTCGTATCCCATGCTGGCCGACCTGGTGTCGACCCTGCTGTCGCGGCTGCTGCCCGCCTCGTTCGTAGCCTACGTGCTGTACAAGTACTGCGCGCGGCCGCTCCTGACTCCGCTGTCGGCGCCCAGCTACCAGCTGACCAAGGCCTTCCTCTACGTCCCGCCCATTTTCATCGGGGCCCTGAACAACTACACCTTCGCGCGTCTGATCCCCCTCGAGCGTCTGACCCCCTACGACATCCAGCAGCAGCCTGGGGCCAAGCTCGCGCTGGCGCTGGTGATCCCGACCGTGGTCACCATCATCCTGAGCCAGGCCTGGCAGATCCGCCAGGGTGGCGTGATGCCGCACTACCTCAAGATCTACGGCACGATGGCCCTGATCTTGCTGATCCTGCTCCCGCTGCCGGGCCTCCGCCTGCGCATCCACCACTACATCCTCGCCATCCTGCTGATGCCCGGGACCGCCATCCCCACGCGCCCGTCGCTCATCTATCAGGGTTTGCTACTGGGCCTCTTCATCAACGGCATCGCCCGATGGGGCTTCGCTTCGATCATCGAGACACCCGCCGCGCTGGGCGAGCTGGCCCCGGGCGCGGGTGGGGCGCACGGCTGGTGGGGCAGCACGTACCCCAACGTCACGGACGCGTCCGTCAACATCACGCTGCCGGACCCGGGCTCTCACGAGGCCTTCCACGGCAACGGCAACATCACCTTCGCCCTGTGGGAGACGGACCGGATGGACAAGTTGGGTGTCGACGGTGTTTCCGTCCTGGTCAACGATGTCGAGCGTTGGCGCGGCTACGTGGACGAGGACCCAGAGGGCGAGTTCACCTGGCACCGACACGGCCACAGCGGCCTGGAGCTGCAGCATCAATCTGTGATTGAGAGTGAATATGAGCTGGACGAGGCCGATCTGGAGTCGGACGACGACGACGACGACGACGACGACGATCTCAAACCCGACGTCTTGTTCTTCCGCTTTGCCTTCTTGCGGGGCGCCGAGGCCGGCAAGTACAGCGGGGCTGGGGTGTGGCTGCAAGAGGGAGATTGGATATCACCGCCGTCTCCGTAAATCTCTTTCCTTTTCTACTTTGTTATATATGTCTTGTGCTTAGACCGGCATACATGGTTGGATGTGTCCCGGACGTGTTGGCCGGGTGGATGGAGATGACGTTCGGTTAGGTTAGGCTAGGTTAGGTGTTTGGTGGAGGCGTTTCTTGAATTAATGATTGAATATGAGATTTTTACTGATATCCGACACTTGTATATGAGTAATGGGCAGTCATGTAGACTGGGCCTGGTCATAACCACCCTATCTTACCCATCATTTAGCTACTGATGTATCATTTCTTACATGATCAGAGCAACCCAATTTCTACAACCACCCCATTGCATACAATTAGCCAAACAGTCTCATCCGGATTTCCTTGGCTGCAATAGTTGATCGGTCGATTTAGATTCTTCATCGTGTTTGTACGTAATCTGCAAAATTATCTACATCATCATGCAAGGTCTGACCATGTCGTTGATCTGTGAATATACGTACGTTCCACGGTAACTGTATATCAGGATAACTGCCGTAATACCCAAGTAGATAGCTATCTACCTACCTATATATCTATCGATCTATATATCTATTCATCTATCCATACACCAATAACGACAGACAGGCATATCCACAGACATGAGTTGTGCAAACCAAACAAAGCTTGATATCAATACTAGAATGAGTAGTATCAGATAGGTGTTTCCGATCTACACCATATTAAGATCAAGGAGGAGAATGTCACGGATAGCACGAACCTCCATACCACTACTACGTAGTCGCAACTGTAGTCGTTCCAGCGGGACCAGAAAGGAGCAGGAGTAACAACAGGTAGTAAACCCAGATAATACACCCCCAGAAGAGGAAAAAAAAAATAGAATAAAATAAGATGAAATGATCATCACCACATTAACAGCCAACCACCTCCGCCAACAAAAAAACACCACCGTGTTAACCCAGTGGGGGGGGAAGTAACATGTTCATCTCATGAGAGTCGGAATACGCGATGAGCGGTTCGCTGAGCGGTTCGCTGAGCAATTCGTATTATAATGATGAATGATGCTTGGGTGGTTTCTATCTCTATTCTCTATTATGAGGGTACATCCTACATACTACTGTGCTCCGTACGCAATGGTGATCATAAATGATGATATAAGGAGACAACTCCTACCATGTATTCTGTTTTGTCCACTAGTTGGTTACTTTTGATTAATACTGTAGATCAGACCACAATCGAGGGTCTACGTCATGTTCTCGTTGATTGTTTTGTATAGGGAGGGCTATCTGTTATCCATTTATTTAGGTATCTATCTATCCATCTCACAACTGAATAACTACCTATATCCTAGGTGTATACCGATAGAACAAATCCACCGGCCCTATACAAGAAAATTTACATATACAGTTGATACCCCCGTAAAAAAGAAGAAGAAAAAAACCTCATCCTTACATCCCTATCCAACAGACACACCCTAATCCAACTAAACAATCTAGCCTTCTAGTGTCTCCTTCTAGTGTCTACCCCTCCCTAGTCGTCCTAGTCCTCCTAACCCCTACTTTAGTCCCTAGTCCAACTCCAACCCAACTCGCCTCCAACTCCGCGAACAGACCGACGATCCTAATCCCCCTCCCTTCCCCCTTTCTTTCTGTCTTCTTCCCCGCGGGATAGTACTACCGACTTAAGCTTTTTCTCCCCTGTCCCTATCTGAGACAGATCGTCATGCCTACAGGTAGCAGAAAGATGGATACGCAGTAGCATGTATATTGTACACTGTAGTGGAGAAATTTTCTCGTGATGAATGAATCCATAATATAATCCAGATAGTATATCTATCTGACTGTATAACTCCAGAGCAACAATAACAAAATTTTGCAACGACAACGACAGTGCTGAGTATTGTAATGAAACGAGAATACCAATGACAATAACACTAAGGAAAGAGAGAGAGAGTATTGCGGACGACCAGCGTCGGCAAAAAGTGAAGAAAAAGAAAAAAAACCATACAATCTGGTACAAACCCCCCCAGACCATAGTTAATTGGCTATAAAATCTAACAAGACTCCCCCCAATCCGCGTTCTCATCTCAAAAGAAAAGAAAAAAAGAAAAAAGACAAGACGAATGTCTTACGCTTCAACCCATCTCGTCAAGCACAAGCACAATGACAACGGCAATGACAAGGGAGAAGAGGGAAAATTGTGACATTTACATCCATTTGAAATTCGAAATATGAAATGAGAAGAAAAATTGACAGTAAGATAAGATAGTGAAGGTATCCTGGGGGCTAAAAAAGTATCATCCATGAATGGGAGCCCGCGCTCGGCTCGGGGAGGGGGATAAAAAAAAAAGTAATGTGACAAAAAAAGTTATAGATGAGAAACACGGAATGGGTGTGTCGCTTGGGAAGAATGATATATGCGTGCAAAGCCATTACTTTTTAGAAGTATAAGTGAATGGCGCCCAAAGAGTGTCCGATGTTGAGAATCCCGCTTCGTCGCTCATCTTCACCCATCAGTCATCAGTGGGCTGGCCCCATCGACGGGGTGAACCGTCTAGTGGGCACGGGCACGGTGACCGTGGGCGTGGCGCCGGCGGTGGGCGTGGGCAGGCTCGGTCGCCATCGTGACCTCGGTGGAGACGACGGTCGTGGCGGTCGTCAGGGTGGTCGAGACGGTCACCATGTCGCCGGTCTGGGTGCCCACGGTGCTGCCCTGGTCGTCGACCAGGATCACAACCTGCTGCTCGACGAAGACGATCTCCTGGGTGATGGGACCCTCGATCAAGGAGGTGACGGGAGTGGGGGTCCAGGTCGGGGTCGTGGTGGTGCTCGTGGTCGGTTCCTCGGTGGTGCTCGGGGTCGGGGTCTCGGTCGGGGTCTCAGTGGTGCTGGGGGCGGGAGGGGGAGTCGTAGTGGAAGATGCGGACGTGGTCGAGCTCTCAGCGAACATACCGCCGATATCGGGGAGAGAGATGCTGGGGAGGCCGGGAAGGGTGGGGAGAGCGGGCGTGGAGGTGGACGCGGCGGAGGAGGAAGTGGGAGTGGAGTACTTGATGGGGAAGGCATCCTCGGGTCCGTACTCGATAAGGAGCTTGTTGGGCAGGCCACCCTTGCACTTCTCGACGTCCTCGTCTTTCAGGAGGTCGGGGAGGTCAAAGGTGCAGAGCTTCTGTTTGATCTCGGACTGAAGCTCGAAAACGGGGCAGTCTTCGACCTCACCGGACGGGTTGGTGCACTGCTCGACGGCCGCCTCCAAAACGTCCTGCTCCCAGCCCTGGATGAAGTCGGCGTGGTAGCCGAATCCGGTGGGGTCACCGTGGGACAGGACGAACTCGCCCTCCTTGTGGCGGAAGGCGTAGGTATCCCAGATGGTCTCGAAGAAGAGCGAGATGAGGCGAGTCTCAAAGCCCTCGGGGCAGGTTCCGTCCATGACCTGCGAAGGATAGGCCATGTGGGACTTGTGGTCTTTGGTGTCGACGTCCTTCCCGTTCCAGCACGAAGGGAACATCAGCTCGATGCGGATACCATCTTTGCAGTTCTCATCGAGATAGGTCTTGTTGGGCATGAAGTGGCGTCCGAGCGACGGTTCCGCGTCGGAGTCGTAGTTGAGGCAGTTGAACCCAAGCGCCTTCGCGGCCAGGGCCTCCTGGGAGCCCTGCTTGCCGGTCCACTCGGACTTGGGGGGATCAGGAACGGGCCAGGGGAAGGAACGCTTGAAGGGGTCACCGGCGATCATGCGGAAGCCCTCAGGGAAGGCCTTCACGCCCTCACCGTACAGAAGGTAGTAGCTGCGATTCGATGAGCACGAAATCATGGCCCCTAAGGAGGAAAGAGCACTTACGCAAGCATGCCTCCCACCTCATCCACCAACTCGGCGTCGCCATCTTCGTCCACGAAGTAAAGCGCGGGAGCCCAGTACGCGGACTTGTCCTGCTTGACCTCGCAGGAGGTACAGTCGGCGGCCTTCAGGACGTCGGCGTCGGACGACATGGAGAAAGCTATCGGAAATCAGCATCAAGACCAAACTCCAGGCACGCGGGGTTCAAACTCACCGCCAGATCCATGGACGGCGTGAACGTGGTAGGAGGGCTCGCCCGGGTCCATCAGAGGATCGATACGGGCCAGACCACTCCGGCCACGACAGGGAAGACGCCAGAACGCATCAGCAACGCTGGAGAAGGCGGCCAGGCATGTCACCAGGCCGACATCGAGCCGCATCGCACGAGGCATGGTGGTAATCGAGCGTCAATAAAGATCAAAAATGAGTGACAATAGTGGGTTCCAAAAGGAGTGTCGTCTTAACGAGCGAATCTGTTGACTGCAAGCATCACCAGGCGCGGTAAGTAAAAATTCCCATGAAGAAACTGACGAGCGACCAGTCAAAAGAAAAACCAAAGGAGTGTATGGATAACGGGGATGTCAAAAAGTCGTGGTGCGATCGATCTTGCTATTCCCCCAGACGTAAAATGATTGTTGGTCGGGCCGTGGGGCTTCGAGTGCTGGTATAAGAACGTCGATTCGATCGCAAGAATGAGATCATAACAATAACAACAATGACAAAGCACCATAGACAGGAAGCGAGGCGTCCAGGGGTCTGGCCAGCAAGATCTTTGAACTTCTGGCTCACATAGATGGCTCGGTCTCAAGCAAGGGGGATATTCCCTTGCATACGGTAGGACATCCCGCCACCACATTTCACACGAGGTCCTGGCATCTGGACGGGACAGGGAGAAGGCGGACAAGGGGAAAGCAAGATGGGATTGGGTAGAGGATAGCATAGAAGGACTACAACTGCAAAGAAATCACGGACGTACCCTTCGTTTCGAAGTTGGGCAAGGGATGTCTGCGTGCCGATCAATACCTGTGTACGCCACGACAAGAACCGGGGAATGAGGGATACCGTAGAAGTCAGAAGTCTTCTCGCGAGGAATTCAATGTCTCTCCGGAAAGCAAGAATCGATTCCTCGAAGGTTACGCTGGGCGAGGAATGGGGAGAAAGGGCCCTCAGTAACGAAAGAAGGGTCAAACAAAGTGGTAAACGAAGGACTGTAAAGGAAGGACTGGAAGGAGTGAAAGAAGGACAGGGAATCAACTCGCAGGATACAATCCCAAGGGCAGAGAAGAAAAAAAGGGTAAAAAAAAAAGGAATCAAAAATAATGAGTGGAAAGACGTCAACGCCGTCTAATAACGATGGGGTGGAATGGGGAAGGAGAGAGAAAGTCGGCTCCTAAACCAACAAATGATAATTAAAAAAGAGGAGCCCGCGACGAGCTTCCAAGACGATGGACTACGCAGGAACCAGTCCGCTAGAATCATGGGCCCAATTACCGAGGGGCATCCGATAAAAAATCAGGTCCCAAGCCTTTTCAGGGTCGACACTCATTTTCCCCTTTCTGCGTTAGGTGGTGCTAAAGAGGAATACATTTTGTCGAGCACCAACCCCCAGAGGCCAATCCCCTTGAGCAGTGGCATGCGACCAGACTATTGGCCTTGGTTTTCTTGATTTCTCGTGACAATCATCCGAACCGAACTCTGCACCATGGAGATGTATCGATAAGGAGTATGATCTGCTCGTCAAGGTGGAATTAGTTATCAGGACAGTGGGGGCGTAAGAGCCGGGCGCCACCGCGCGGGGGTTTGGAACCAGAACGGTTGAACCCCTTTTCCCCTATCACAAAGTTGAATTAATCTCCGTAAAATAACAGGGTGAGAAACGAGGATGCCTCGTGCGACAGCCATGGCGGAGAAGAGGGAGGTTCTCCATTTCTCATTTGAAGCCAAGAGGGGCAGTGTGCGACCGGGTTCCATGGGGGCCCCACTCTATCCCAGACTTAGAGACTACTGATCTCCAGGGGTAAGAGCGGTCAGACTGAGCGTTGCGAGAGGAAGATTTAACTTAAGTCAGGGAGACCCCCAATTGAGGGTTGAAGACTATGTGAGGACGATTTATGGGTCTCAGGGGACGTCTTCACAGTACGGATTATAATAATGGTGTATGGAGTAAAAAGGGGAAACTCCCACATGAACGGGGAAAGCAGAAAAAGAAGAAGGAAACTAGAAGGGAAAAAAAAATAATCAGAAAAATAAAGAAGTGGACCTCTCGACGCCAGATGGAGCAAATCATCGGCTGTGCCTGAGTTAGGTCGGACGCCAAGGGAGTTGGGTCAGGGTTAGTGCAGACTGGTGCGGTATGCAACTGCGAGTGACGAGCCACAGCGACATCATACGGGGGGTCACGGATCCCTGAAGGAGTCCCAATCGTGACATCACGCCCGGTGATAGACACAGGGGCGGCTGGTCGACTTTAAAATCCGAGGTCCTATCGCGTGGGTTGGAAAGGGCTGTATCCTTGCGATTGAAGGGAATCCATCCCAGGCGAACGGGTTCAACCCTTGGTTGACTGACTCCTGGTCGGATGACTGGGGGATCGGCTCACCCGATGTCCCAAACTTGACTCACTAATGATGATAGTAACGATTAGGATGGACCCAGCAGAGGATGAGGAAGGGAAAGGGGAGTTTCAGATAGGCTGGGACGAACTGTGGACACAGGACGGTTGACCAACGGCAGGGATCCAAGCTTTGGAAGCATAATGAACTTTTTACAGGGTATTAGATTTCAAAGATTGAAGAAAAAAATATATACAAGAGATAAATTAAAAAAAGAATTGAACCATCAGATCCGAGTGAAACGACAAGAAGGATGATGGAAAGACGGATGAGAAGTGAGTCCGGTGGTTGTTTGATGGGTTTCGGGACGCTAGACCCGATCGAGACACAGGTCAGCAAGATCAGATCAAGCCAAAGTAACCTCAATCTCTCATGGCTGCAACTAGCGCCCAGAATGGAGCAATAATCGATGCGTTTATTCCCATCGAGTGATCAATATGGAACAGATTTCGATCCCTGCAGCGTACACAGCCATCTTGGATTCTGACAAGCCAATTCTAATCGACACAAATGTATTGTTCGGACATCTCCACACAACAATCAATATATACGCCACCAAACACGACAATAGAAGATTCTGCAATCGTTTCGGTGCAACAGTGGTATGACTAGTATCACCGTCACGAGATTTAGCCCTTCCTGGCTGCGACGTGAAACGATCCAGATCTGAAACCATTCGCCCCTAAAATAGATTGTTCGTGATCAACCAGGTAGAGCGATTTCTGAGGATCTGACATGTACGGAAAGTGGACCATTCCGAGCCCCGCTGATGGTCTCAGGAATAGGCATCAGTATTTTGATTTGTAGGCTCTGATATGATAAACGACAGACTAGACAGGCTTGTTCATGCCTTGATAAGTGACCGGAGGAGTCATTGATCAGACGTCTGATAGACCTGATCGTAATAAATTGACCCTGTCATGAAGTCTAATGACTCGCACACCTGAAACATTCCAAATATCTAGATTCGAGAGAGTGGAGCACAAAGTGCCCTAATGTTTGGAAACTCTGACCTCTCCGATCAATGGTCTTGAGCCAATACGCTCTACTATCTCACTGATATGCACTATAAAACCAAGTCAAACCCACGGCAAATCAATCAATAGCTGCGCCAACAACCAAAACCGTCCAATCCAGTAGCGCGACTACAAACTTGCTTAGAATATGGGCAAGGCAGATGAGAACAGTCAAGATTTTTGGTTGAATTCGACAATCCTAACGACTCAACCAAGAGTTGAGGATAACCGCAAGATTCCAAGAAACACAAAGAGCCGAAACAGCGATCTATGCGGGAAAACGCTGCATGTCAGCTGATGCTGGCCGATTGCATGCCTCGCGATTTCACGGAATGTAGCTAACCATACCAAGCCAAGCACTGCAACCCATCTGCGTCAACGGATAACTTGCAGCCTGGGGCCGTCTTTAAGCTACGCACCTGAACGCCCAGCATAACCACCCACCTCTCCCCACGCCAACATCCCACCTGAAACGTGAGACGCCTACGGTAAAAGAGAACGTCTCACACTATCCGCTTCACAACAATGACAACCCCTCCAAAGTAGAAGTTGAGTGCGGTATCACTTATCACTAGAGCAAAACACGAGGTATCTATAACTATCCCACCGGGTGTATCCGACAATAAGGAACGGCCTGCGATGGCAGACTCTTTTACTGATTTGCTGGTCCCCTTTACAACCGGTCCGTACCCGGGGTTGCATCGCGCGTAGATTAGAAGTTTCGTGTTGCCTGTGAATAGTTAGATGGTTAGGGTTAGCTAAGTCTGGCTAGGACGGAAACGAGCATTTGCCGTGAGAGAGGTGTCTGAGCGGAGAGTGGGACTGGTAGACAGAAGAAAAGTAACTCCTCGATAGTACTATAGTATGTACCGTTGGAAAATACCCCATACGCGATGGTCGAGACAGCAACGGGTTTGTTCAGTCAGATCGAAGAAGAGAAAAAAGAGTAAGATCTAGCAACTTCCAAGAGTCGCCCTTGACCGTTGGAAATCCAGCGTAGGACAGACCTACGTCAAGTCATCAACCGGCGTAGTCAGTGCGCATACCACGGCATAATCAATGCGAGACAAGACGTCCGTCACCAACTAACCAGACACGATCGTCCCGTGTATCTATCTCTCTATCCGTCTCCCGAGCCAATACCGACGGCGGGGTTATCGCAGCCAAGACGGCCCGCCATCTGATTAGTGAGGCGGGGGGGGGGGATACGAAACCCGTCCGTGCTGTCTGTGCTAGATACTCTCGGAAGATCAACGTCAGATCACTCATGAACTCATTGTGAAGGCAAATGACTGCCTGCATGTTGAGATCGGGTCATGTTAGCTGGCATGGCCTTGTAACATGGGGTGGCAATCAAGCAAAACCATGTTGCGACCCAAACATACGAAGCAGTATCCGTCACTCCGCCGCAAAGCACCCCTTAGGTCTTGGATTAGGAGATGGTTGTGAAGGTATCAGGGATACCCCGTGATGGGGGAACCGCCTGGCGGCATGGGCGGGAGGGAGGTAAAATGGGAGGCAACCTCATAGGAACACAGTAAAAGAATACCAGAGAAGCTGTTAATTGCATGCCGTCATCCACGACGAACCTCTGATCGACAGCGTCTATGATATCTGCATATTAGGCCAAACCCCATGTGACCTGATCTGGCTATGCCGTTTTGGGTTATCAGATCCAGCCCGGCGATCGAGCGCCGCCCGCCAATCGCTGCCAGACGGACTGAGAAGGGACAGTCTTTGGGAGTAATTGAGAATGAAATATGCAGCTGGTCTGGTGGTCAGAAGGGATTGATTGCTGGGGCTGAATTGAACTTTGGCGTGGGAGCAGGGAATGGATTAGGGTTAGTTTAGCCGTGCATTATACCGGGTAGACATATTGTACAGATAGTTATAGGGATAGTACGGATACATCGAATGATATACGGGGAGGTATCGGGGGTAACCGCGGAGATGTTGCCCCACCAGGCGTCCATCACATGAGTCTTTTGTTTACTATTCTATTAAGACGATTTAGAATGGAGACATCTGCCCCGTGACTTCGACTTCGGAGGACAGGAAGACCGGTGAATGGGTCCACTTGGATTGTATTCTATCATGCTGATGAGATACACTATAATGTCCATGATTTCACCAGCTGTATTAGGGCTTGGAGCAGCTGAGCACGCGCCTGACAAGGGAAAGCGATTGGTTGAGAGGGATGGAGGAATTGGCTACCGTTTAGGGACTGCTGGAGGTATGGATGGATGGATTAGATGAACCTGAACGTGTTAGGGCGAGACTAAGGAGGGGTTCCCCACCATGTCACTTGATCGGTCAGGTACATTTTGACTGACCTGATTTGACCTGACCTAACCGGACCTGGATTTATAAGGGGGAATGGGGGATATCATGATCGATGATACTTTATAATGAATGATTCAAAAAGAAAGAAAGAAAGAACCGATAGAGAAAAAGAGGGAGAAGGGAGTGGAAGAGAGAGGAGGGGAAACGGAGTCGTGCAGAGGAGTTACGTAAAGGAAAGATGGTCAGTGGCCAGACCGTTATGGAAACAGTCTGGATGGATCAGGATCAGAATGGAGAATCATGGATCAATACATGGAATGAAGAATGGAGATAGAGAATGGAATGGAGACTATGGTCAAAACTGTCCAGAATCTCAATCAATATCATTCAACGTGGAGAGTATCGGTCAATATCAATATCAATATCATATACGGATAGAATCATAAGACAAGCAGTCGGGAGACTCCGGATGTATTGACAGCTACCTGTTGATGCAATACGGTGTGAGAAATCAAAACATAAATCACGACTAAGAAAAGTTCCATCAAAGGCAACCCCAGACGATCCCAATCCATCATTACTTAATGGCTCGGGATGAGGACGATATCGGTCTCTTTCGCCTCCTGTCACTACCAGGCTCAAGTTTTCAATTGTTCTTTATTGGAGTAGCATGACCTCGTATGCTTGATATGGCAGTCATTCTTATCAGACTGAATGGTGAAGATTGTATGCTATTGTATGATATTGTAAAGATTGTAGAGCGAATCTCGGAACCAGACCAGGACAGACTGCTCTGATCCACGCCGGGCATTTCCATTGGATTGCATTTTTTCCATCTTTTCTTTCCATTACTTCAAGGAAAAGAAATTCCCGCATGGATTTTCATACCATGAAGTCGAGACTGATTCTTCTTCCATTCTTTTGTATTATTTAATATTTCTATTATTTCTATTTGATGTGATTTATTATCTGGAATAGTGACATTCCAGTCATCCACAAACTAATCCAAATCAGTCCTGAACCACACAAACATTTCTCTCTTGGAGCCCAACCTCCAACCTTCAATACCACTAAGAAACGACACTTAAAAAAGTCTTAAAAAAAGACTAAAAAAGGCTTAAAAAATAAAACAGAAAAAGAGGAGGGGGAAAGAAGCAGAAAAATCAACCTAGCCCCTCCATTGTGGGTGAGTGACCCCGTGAATCTCCTCCATCCTCCGCCATCATCAGCATCAACTTCCACCTCTTGATCTTTCTCTCTCCCTTCCCTTGCTCACTTTCCTTCCCCCCTCCCTAGACAGACCTCATTACACCATCGCTTTGTCCGATTACGGCATTCGCAACTCGTCCGCCTTCTGCCGACCTACATATACCCATCTCAATCACCCTTCCTTTCGTTTCGAACCCCACTATCGATTTCAATCTCTGGCCCGCTCCGTCAACATTTCCGACACGCCCTGCTGCCCTTTCTCCCCTTCCCCAACCTAATCGGGTACATCAAACAATCCTGGATTAATGGTCAACTCCGTCAGCCCTGCGTCCTAGTCAGCTGCCTCTCTCCTCTGGTCGCCGTCACCTCGTCTACCCCGCACCCTGGCTCCCCCTCTCTTAACCGCGGAGGGCTCCTCTCGTGCCCGCATTCGACCGGTTTGCGAAAATCACCCCGGATGACCCAACAACGCAAGACCATCGCCGTCGTGAACGCGACCGGCCGCCAGGCCGCCTCGCTCATCCGCGTCGCCTCCGCCGTCGGTCACAACGTGCGCGCTCAGATCCACTCCCTCAAGGGCATCATCGCCGAGGAGCTCGAATCCCTCCCCAATGTCACCCTCTTCCAGGGTCCGCTGCTGGGCAATGTCGCCATGATGGATGCCCTCTTCGACGGCGCCAACCTGGCCTTCATCAACACGACCTCCCAGGCCGGTGACGAGATCGCTATCGGATGCGCCCTCGCCGACGCCGCGAAACGCGCCGGCTCCATCCAGCACTTTATCTACAGCAGCATGCCCGACCACTCCGTTCATGGCCCCTGGCTCCCTGTGCCGCTCTGGGCGCCCAAGTTTACCGTCGAGAATTATATCCGTCAGCTGGGTCTGCCTGCTACTTTTGTCTACGCCGGGATCTACAACAACAACTTCACCAGTCTGCCCTACCCCCTGTTCCAGATGGAGCTGCTGGAGGATGGCAGTTTCGAGTGGCACGCTCCGTTTGACCCGGAAACACCGCTGCCGTGGCTCGACGCCGAGCACGACGTGGGACCGACCCTATTACAGATCTTCAAAGACGGGCCGCAAATCTGGCACGGACATCGGTTAGTCTTAGTCTCCTCCTCTTTCCCCCTCTTTTCTCCTGTAAGACTAACAAAGATAGAATCGCCCTCACATTCGAAACCCTCACCCCCAACCAAGTCTGCGCAGCCTTCTCCCGCGCCCTCAACCGCCCGTGCCGGTACCTCCACGTCCCCAAGATCGAAATCAAAGTGAACATCCCCACCGGCTACCGGGAGCAGCTAGAAGCACTAGAGGAGGTATTCGGGCGCTGCAACGCGCCCTACTTCCCGCAGCCCGAATTCTCCCGGCCGGCAGCGGGGTCGCCCAAGGGTCTGGGGCCCGCCAATGGCAAGGGTGCCGGAGCCGGGATGATGCAAGGGCCTGGCGGGGTGATCTCACTGCGCGTTACCGACGAAGCGCGCCATCTGTGGCAGGGTTGGCGCGATATGGAGGAGTATGCGCGGGAGGTGTTTCCTGTGGAGGAGGAGGCCAATGGGTTGGATTGGATGTTGTAGGGTGTTTTTACGTCCTGGTTTTAAACTGGGTTTAATGCATTGCTGGCGAATGGTTTTCTACTTGTGGTTTGAGTTGAAAAAAAAAAATGAGGGGAAATGCGAAAAGCGAAAAGAAAAGAGGGGGAAAATCAACTGCTCTCTCTACCTCCATGCTTGCCTATACAATACTCTGTATACGGCAGCATGGATTAAAGCAGGTCATGATTGAAGCATATGATGACAGGGGAAACCAAACCACACCACACCAAAAGTTCTTTCTTTCTTATCTATCTCACCTCAGTCCTCAGGGGGCTGACCTTGTTTCATTGGTTGATTTTCGTGCGCTGTTTTTTATCTATCTACTTATCGTCTTCAGGATGTACCAGGTTTGAGTACTTTCTTAGGTAGTATTAGTATTAGTAGTCTTATTATTATTCCCCACGGGTGTGGAAATGCACCGGCGGCTGTCTGAATTGATTTTTTTCTTACTTTCTATTCTTTTTTCGTGGGGTTCTTTGATAGCTTTTGCTGGTGATATATATATACGTATACATAATCACACAAGGTGTATACTCCATACACTATATGAATATAACCTAGACAGGAGTGGTTATTAATATTGTTGAACGATCTAATACATGTGAACAGTGTGTATATAAGTATATGCAGTTCTCATCTAACACTACAAATGTACAATAGATAGGTAGGTACCTAGGTAAGTAGAATAGAGCAAGATAGTTATGCATACTTATCACTGTCTGACTCACCATTCTACTACAGTCAACTAATTTACTTAGTTATGCAGATTATACACACGTCATGCTGACTACTCTACTTACAGCCACCAATTAACTAACTCAAGTTAGCAGCCTCAGGTCCCAGGCGGAAAGTAACATTGCGATAGACAGCCGCATACACTCATAGGTAGTAGTAACCCAGTACCTGTAATAAGATTAGCAATAACAGTCAAAAGGTCCCGTAGGTAAGTAACTCAGTGGAAGACAAGAAGTAAATCTCTTCTGCCCTCCCGCCCATCCCGTCATAGCATCCAGTGGACATCCACATCCACTCCCTAACCTTGGTAAGGTAGGTCGAATAGGTGATCAACCACCGTCACCTCCAGAATTTTCAGCCTGTTTCCCCCTCTACGGAGTACCTAACTACCTAAACTGTATCCGTACCTGATTAAGCAAGCTTCTCTCTCCGCCGTAGCTAATTAAATAATATTTTTTCTTTTTTTTTTTTTTTTTCTGCCGTCTGTGTCGGTTTGATTTTTCATTCTCTTGACTACTTAACTATTCTCTCTTCTCCTCATCTCCTTCACTTTCTTTTACACTCTCTGTCAATTTGACCTGCCCACCTACTACATCTACATACTATCTATCTATCTACTAAGTATACCCATCAGAAAGCATACAAAATGGCCGACGAACAAAAATCCCTCGCCGAGCGCGTCGAAGTGCCCGATATCCCCAAGGCCGCGGCCAAGAAGATCGCTCTGCTGGAGCAGCAGTTTCTGCGCGCGGAGGTTGAACAATGTATGTCTTTCCCTTCCATCCTATTTTTTTGGAATTGGATGTTTTTACTTGGATTGTTTGACTTTTGGATGGTTTATTGCTCTATATTTGAATACCCCAGCTAATAAGTTAAATGTAGTAAAACACTCCATCCCCCTCTTCCGCCCCATCTACGAGGAGCGCAACAAAGTCATCACCACCCCCGAGGTGCAGGAGAACTTCTGGATGCGCGTGTTCTCGCACGCCCCCGCCGAGATCGACGAGTACATCACGACCGCGGACGCCGCTGCGCTGGGCACCGCGCTGAAGAATGTGTCTGTTGAGCGGTTCGAGGTGAACGAGGCGGGCCAGGGCGAGCCGCGCAGCATTCGCTTTGTGTTTGAGTTCCGCACTGGCGAGGAGAACCCGTTCTTCACCGATGAGAAGCTGGTCAAGGAGTTCTACTGGCGCAAGCGCGTGACGAAGACGCAGAAGGGGAATACCATTGTTTGGGAGGGTCTGGTTTCGGAGCCGGTGCGTGTGCACTGGAAGGCGGACCGTGATCTGACCAAGGGGTTGTTGGATGCCGCCTGTGATCTGGCCGAGGCGGAGAAGAAGGGTGGGGAGAGGAAGCAACTGCCTGAGTTTAAGAAGCTCGTGAGCAAGATTGAGGAGGTGGAGGCTGAGGCGGCGAAGCTGGATGAGGAGGGTGAGGGCGATGATGATGAGGAGGATTTCCCTGTCGGCCCGTCGCCCGCTGGCACCAGCTTCTTCTCGTTCTTCGGGTACCGTGGTCGGGACGTCTCTGCTGAGGAGTCCGCCAAGGCGACCCAGGAGGATGAGGAGCGCTACCAGAAGATGCTGAAGGGCGAGAAGGTTGACGGCGATGATGAGGAGGCTGAGGAGGATGATGAGGAGGACGAGGAGGACGACGAGGTCGAGGCGCTGGAGATCTTCCCTGACGGGGAGGAGCTCGCTGTCGCGCTCGCCGAGGACCTGTGGCCCAACGCTCTGAAGTACTATGGTGGGTTTTCTCACTTTGGCCACGGATGCTGCGAGTCGTGCTGACTGAATAGCTCAATCGTTCGACGAGCCCGAGGACCTTGAGTTCGACGAGGACGAGCTGGAAGGCCTGGATGACGACGAGGATGATGATGACGAGGAGGCCGAGGACGAGGAGTCCCGTCCCCGCAAAAAGACCAAGGTTTAAGCCACCTTTTTTATGATGTATCTACCGGTGCGCTCACAACGCGATCACCAGAATTAATAATAGTACCAAAACGAAAATGAGAACCGCAATGCAGAATGACGAATATGAATCTGTGTAGTCAGTACCTTTCCATCTGTCATCGTCGTAAAAAGGGGAGAAAGACGTACCCTCATTCTTCCGCACAATGTGCTTCAACCTCGCCATCCCCCCCTGCAGTTTCCCCCCAACCCGTTCAGCCAACGTATCCACCTCCCCAATCATAACAGCCTGCTCCTCCAACTCCCTCCCCATGTCATTCGCCTGGTCTCTCAGATTCCCCACCGTCCGAAACACCCCATCCAGCTGCTCATCCTGCTCATGCATCAGCTCCACCTGTCTCTGCTGCTCCATCGCCGCATAATGATCCCCTCCCCTGCCCCCTAACCCCTCCTCCTCCCCCTCACTGTCATCCGCAAAATCCGCCGGGTTCGGCAGTCCCGCATTATGCTGGTGGTCGGCGGTCGACACAGCGCGCTGCAGCTCCAGCCGCATGTTCTCGACTTCCGCGCCGACATCGTTGACGAGTTGGCGCCGGCGGGAGACTTCTTCGAGCTCGAGGCCGTACCGGTAGGGGTCTTGCTCGACGACGCGGACGCTCTCGATGAGGTCGTCGAGGTCGGCGGAGAGGTCGGTGAGGTTTGTTTCGAGTTCGGAGCGCGATTGTTGGAGTTCCGGGTTGGTGGGTGATTTGGCGAGGGAGCGGATGCGGAGGTAGGAGGAGAAGAGCGGGCGGGAGGTTTGGAGAGTTTTGAGGACGTCTCTGTATTTTTCTTTTAGTATAGGTCTTTATATATGTGTATTTGTGTATGTAGATATGTATGGTTATTGGTTTGGTGGTCGGGTTGGGTTGGTGGTATAGGGGCTTACGCTTGGACTTGGAGGAAGGGGTCTGCGGGCTCCATGGTTTTGGTTCTGGTACTATTGTTCGTGTTGATTGTATCAAGTAGTCTAATAAGTTGGATGAGAAAAGATATGATGGTGCAGTTGTGATCTGAACTCGAATTCGTGTGGTTGTATCTGTAGATAACCTAGTTGATGCTATGCTGGCGAGTCGAGAGTCTCGGCGGGCGGTGAGCTTGGCGGTCACGCTATCTTTAGTATCACTTACGTCTGATAATTAATTGATAATTAATTACGGATCGCCATGACTACCAGACTCCAGTACGGGTGTTCATATGTGACAATCAAAGCAAAATTAAAGTTATTTTCAATAGTATGAATTAAGTCCATATACCCATTATAATACCGTGTTGAAATATCCCATGGTAAACGCCCGATGCAGCCCTACATGTCGCTCGCTCCACATCTCACGGAGATACTGCTCCGCCTCCCGGTTGAACTCCCGTCCCCGGGCATCGATCAACGCCGGCTTGACGCTCCAGCTGCGCGCCCGTCGCTTGCAGTCGCAGTCGTGGCACCCCAGGTCTGGTACATTCGTCCACGCCTGCCAGTAGTGGTCCAGCGGGTTCGAGAAGTAGCACCGGCGCAACCCCTGGTCCGTCGCTTTCGCGTCCAGACTGCAGCACTTGTCCTGCGGGCCGAGGAAGAGCTTGGCCAGTGACCGCGGCGACTGCTTCAGCAGGAACCATGAGATCACGCTGTTCTCGTTCTTGGCGTCGCGGTGCCAGGCTTTAGGCCCGTGTCGCAGCAGCACGCGCTCCATGAGCTCCCGTAGCATGCGCAGTGTTGTGTGGAAGTCGATCTCTGTCTGCTCGTCTAGGTAGCTGCGGAGCTGGAGTCGTCGCTGGCCGATGTCGGCCTCCCCGTAGCCCCACCGTAACACCGTGTAGACGTGCCCGATGTGCTCGTCGAATCGCCATGCGTGCCGCTTGTTTGGCGGGAGCTCGTGGTACTCGTCCAGCAATTGGGTGAGGATCATGAGGCGGCCGGTGATCACTGCGGCAGACGGTTTTCGGCGCTCCCGCGCGATGTCGGCCATGTGGAACTGCACGTAGATGCCGCGCTCGAGACGCTCGGCGAGTCGTAGCTCTGCGCTGAAGTCCATCTCGGAGCTGCCGTCGTCGGAGAAGGGACCCCACACGGCGGGGACAATCTGGCGGGCCAGTCGGTGGGCAATCCCTTGACGGTGGATGAGTCGGGGCAGCGTGTGCACGGCGATGGCGTTCTGGGCGCCCGTAAACGGATCCAACGTGAGGAGGGGGTCGAAGCCCTGGATTTTATGGACGCGCATGAACCATCGGCAGATATGCGGTTCCAGCAGTTTGATGGTATCATGCGTGGCCGTGTTCAGAAGGCGGAGCTTGAGAACTGTGCCTATACCTCCATGGATAATGATTTGGAAGAGTACATCGGCCACGAAACCAAAGGGCAAGACCTTTGGTTGGGGTTCGGAGGATAGTATTTGCTGACCAGTTAGCAGGGTCTAACAGAATAACAATGACAATGAGGAACAATATGTTACTCGTAGCAGGAAGAAAGAAAGACAAACAAGATATAAACAACTTACCATGACGACAGCCTAATCAGTACAGCCTACCTACCCAAATTCAAGAACCGTTCCGTTGTGTTCTGCCAACCACCCGTGTCATGGTCCATTTAAGAATACTCTCCAAAGATCTCCTTCCTGTCCACTCCGCACCGTCGGAAGAAAGCGATCACCACCTGGGAATTAAACCAGAGCAGACGGTGTGACGTGTTGACGGGTAGTCGCTGAGAGGGCTGACCCCGGAAATAGCGGCGCATCCAGCTATCCCTAGCGATGGAAGCGCGGTTGCCCGATGACTGGACCGCTCGGACTGCGTCTCTTCCGCGATGACCGATGTCTTTGTTCAGAGGATATAATTGGGTTGTGGACTGGCAACGAGTGTTCCAGGCACGTTGACCAAGCGGCTAACCAAAGAAGGTGATGTGATCTGTCTGACACTTGGGTTGTCGGGTTGAGGCTGGGCGAAATTGATCGGATCACAGCCGGTTTATCAGTCTCCACGACCGGTCGACGAAAGGAGATCCCGGATTGATAAGAATCCGAAAACATAATCGGTATTATCAAGAGAATGATGATCAAAAAAGCAAAAAAGGAGAAGTCAAACGCGTGACCGTTTCACTGGAGACCCGAACGACGCTATACCGGTACTATTTAGATAGGATCAGCCGTTTATTCGATCCATTCACCCCGCGATGATGTGTCGGAATTGGTGTAGCTTAAGATTAGTAGCATATAAGACGGTAGTTTCAGATCATCCGCCCCATCCATGATGTCGACAGGATCTCAGTGGTCGAATCGATCCAAGAGAAGAAGAGACATGAAGGGAGTTTGTTACGTGGAGGACGATGATTTCCCCCTCTTTCTCCACACGGTCTCCCGTCTTGGCTGAAGAGGGGCTCTAGTCCTTTTTAGTAGGGTTTTTTTACTATGAAAAAAAAAAAAAAAAAAAAAGGCGATCTCTCCGCCCCGCATTCCTTCTCATCTCGCCATCTCTCACTTCTTCCATTCGTTCATCATCTAATTCTCTCCCTGTTTTGGACCTCCTTGATTGTATGCTTTCTTTTTAATCCTACCACGCATGCCACGACAGTCCACCCTCCCACTCTCCGAGGAGTGGACGGATCCCGATGCCTATGTCGACGCCCTCCTGTCCTTTGCGACGTCCTCCGCCCTGTTTAGACACCTGTGCGGGGGGGTCCATTTGATGGACTTTATGATCCGAGAGCCCGATATCTACACGACCTTGCTGCCGGAGTCATGGCGCGCATTCTTTGATCTGCACGACGTCCACGACATCCTGCACCTGCTGTTGTGGGAGGACCTGGAACCGCTCTTAGCGCAAAGTCGGTTGGATGCGGATCAGAACGGACAAGGTTGGCGCGGCGCTGCACTCCCTCCAGCTGATTTTCTCGAGTACGTGCACACTATTCGACGGTTGAGCTTGCGGAGAGATTTCACCCCGCTACATACCGGCAAACCTTCCATTCCGAAAAAGATCGCCGTGGGCATGAACGTCAAGAAATACCACGAGGTGGCGCATTTCTCCCGATACGTTGATGAACTCTATGCGACGGTCGCCGAACGGCGCGGGGACGAGATCACCCACGTGGTGGATTTTGGGTCCGGGCAGAGCTACCTGGGGCGCACGCTCGCCTGCCATCCCTACAACAGGCATATCGTCGCAATCGAACGGAAACATCAGTTCATCCGGGGGGCCAAGGGGTATGATGCCCAGGCGAAGCTGATCGAGGAGAAGAAGGAAGTCAGGATGTACAATGCCAAGGAGAATTGTCCGGATTGCCGCAAATGCCGGCGGCGCGCCGCAGCTGAGGCGGCCGAGACGTCTCCGGAGCCCGAGACGGAAGAGACCCCATCGGACGGAGATTCCGAAGTCGCCATGTTCAACGTGTTCCGGGACATCAGCCTGGATCCTGACGAGATTGGCTTCCATCCGGCGGCCAAGGCACCGCCAAGACCGCAGAAGAAACAGCGCGCCGTCGAACCAGAAGAGCCGAAGCATGAGGGAGTGATGGACTACATTGAGCATGATATCAAGGATGGCTACCTGGAGCCTATCATTCAGCACGTCGTGCAGTCGCCGACCGCGGAGGGCGAAACGTCGCAAAGCGTCGCGCAACCCGTGGACCCCCGGGTCATGGTCATCTCCTTGCATTCTTGCGGGAACCTCCTTCACCATGGGGTCCGTTCTCTGGTCTTAAACCCGTCCGTGAAGGCGATCGCCATGATCGGATGCTGCTACAACCTGGTGACGGAACGGCTGGGCCCCGCCACCTACAAACTGCCCGTCCTGCGGTCCATGCACCCCCGGCTCACCAAGGATGCCCTGGCCTACGACCCCCACGGCTTCCCCATGTCGAAACGCATGGAAGACTTCGAACACGACAGCGGAACGGGGGTCAAGATCAACATCACCGCGCGGTCCATGTCGCTGCAGGCGCCCCAGAACTGGACTCGACAGGAGTGCGAGGGCTTCTTCACCCGCCACTTCTACCGGTCCCTGCTGCAGCGCGTCTTCGTTGACCGGGGAGTCGTGCCCAAGCCCACCAGCACGGAGGACCTCTACGGGGACGAGTCTGACTCGCCGCTGATCATCGGCTCGCTACCGAAGAAAGCCTTCGAATCGTGGAACTCGTACGTCCGCGCCGCCGTCGATAAGCTGAGCCGCAACCCGAACAACGGCGACAGGGTCAAAGCCGGCATGGCCGACATCACCGATGAGGAGTTGAATGGCTACGCGGAACGATACCAAGCCAAAAAGAAAAACCTCAGCGTGGCCTGGTGCCTGATGTCGTTCAGTGCTGCCTTGATTGAGGCGATGATCGTGGTCGATCGCTGGCAGTTCCTGCGCGAAGATGCATCCGTCAAGGACTGCTGGGTGGAGCCGGTGTTTGATTTCGGCCTAAGCCCGAGGAACCTGGCGGTGATTGGCATCAAGCATTGATCCCCTCTGGTGAGGGTTTCGGATTGCGTTTATTGGACCAATCCCCCTAATTGCATGTCACCAAAACGACATCAAGTCACAGTATTTGTCTACCTAGATCCAGCATAATGATCGCAATGGTCCATTTCACGCGGACCGACATGACGCAGTGACGAATCTTGCATATACATACACATATATCTACATCTATAGAATAGACGGCTGGCGTTGAAAGAGGGACGTGGCTTTTCAAGAACATCTATTCACAATTATGATGTAGTACAGGAACTGTACATACCATGGGACTTATCTTTTCTGGCTATTGATTCTTAAATTATTATAAATATCTTTTAACAAGCTGATAGGAATAATATTACTAACTTCATAAGTAAGAAAGATATGTCAGGGTACGCTCCGTCCACAATCATCAAGATTACATCTGCGATATTTTCAAGAATCGTCATCAATTACGATGCGATCCAATTTGGCATGTCAACACATGATTGGACGTATGAGGAGGAATCAAGGTTATCCAACAACATATTGATATCAATATTCGAGCCCCAATGTTTATAGTGAATAGTGTGGGAAAGAGAAAACGATGGAGCTGGGACAGCTGGCTCTGCCTCGCTCCTACCTGCAAGAAAGCTTGAGCCTGATTCTACTTCAACCGAACTTCCCCTCTAGCTCCCTCATCATTCGTTCTTCCCTTGGCTCCCACTCAATTTGGGGTAGTCCACTGATATCGAGAACCAGATCATCCGGTTCAAACGCAACCCTCACTATCTCTGTACCAGGTGTGCTCGTGAAGAGTACCTTGAGGGTAGCAGAAACGACCAGATCGCGGACGAGGCCCAACAATGTCGAGAGGACCTCCAGAGCGCCATCCTGGAACTCTTCGCGTTCGAAGAGAGACACACCATCAATGATGAAAAATAGAGTAGTCGACTTCGGCACTTGACGTACGATGCAGACTAACAGGTGGATCAACTCATCGAGGCTGTCCTGTTGTAAAGAAGGCACATGGATCTGCTGGGATAATGAGCCAGTGTCGAACTCGCATTGTCGGAGCAGCTGCCGGATAAGGCTGGTGAGCATTGCCCGTCCTCCAATGTAATCACCAGCGTCTGTTGCATCAGTGTGCCGCCCGCAGAAAAACACCGCACACATGAACTGGTCGTGAGCTCCAAGTCCCTGCGCTAGAGACGCGCACAGGCTGGACAGAGGTGAGATGCCACTGATTGTCTCGGGCAGCTGGAAATTCCAGTGGATTAGCAGCTTCGCTGAAAATGGGGACACGATCCATTGCTGAAAGTGTTGCGTGTTGACAACTTGTTCGGCCTGGGCTCGTTGCTTGGCAGGGAGAAGGCCCTTTTTGGCGATGACAAAGTCTATATCCGTGATGTCAAAGTCGGAGACATTCAGAACTCTGCTCAAAGCCTCTTGGCTGAGGTGAACGTTCGTGATAGGTGTTTGTGTCTGTGTCGATGGAATCCAACCTGCTGGCTCGAATGGAGAGGTGCTGCGAAGCCGGACATTCTCAGCTTTCAGCAATGCTATCTCTTGCTCTGCAGCCTGCAGCTCTTGATAACAGGATTGTCAGAACACAAGGATTGACAGAGCCAGGTAGTGCAGCCAGGGGAGATGTGGCCCACCATTCTTTTGCCGCACATGATCCAGTAGTAAGTGATGGATCGAGTTGAGAGTGTCTGCCGTTTCTTGGTGGGACCTACGTGCCTCAACGCTATCTTGAATGGAGGATCAGCCGCCGTTCGCTATAGTGGTCGGCAGTGATATGTGTACCGAGGTGAGACTGATATATGTGGGACTTTTGTGCTTCGCCCGCCAGACCCGTGGCTTTGATGTTGATCATCTGAAGGCTGTCGAGCAAGCCCTTTTCGTAATCCGCCCCCTGGAATATCGCATTGCCTGCTTTCCGAACTAGTCAAATTAGCATCACCACTTCTTTTCTAGGGGGCGGGGTGCTGCTGCGTGTGTCTGGTTATCTGGAAACTTACCCTCATGCCGAACGAAGAAGACAATTGCCCGTTCGATCGCAACAAGTGTACTGATAGTCAATTGGATGGAAGCTTCTATAATGTTAGCATCGTTGCGAAATATTGCAAGAAACAGCTCGGCGGTTGAGAAAGTGGGAATGAGGTTGTCCAGACTCCCAAGGACCTCGCTGCGTACGCTGGCAGCGGTTTTGACAGCCTACGCAAGAAGTCAGCCGTGCGAATCAGATGTTGCTGTCACCCCCCCCACAGGGCCCTGTTCTTACACCCAAGAGAACCTTCAGTGACCCCAGAACTGGGGTAGAATAAGTGCTGTCGGGCGCGATTTGATAGGCTATATTTGTAGCCTCTGCGACAGGACCGATGTGATCGGCAACCTTTCTTCTCGCCCTTCGAACCAATCCACCCTGCTGGTATTTGTCGCGCGCCGATTGAAGTATCTCATATACGGCCTCCCAATGTTTCTGACCTCGGATGCTATAAGCAGTTTCCACTAGGCCTTTGGGCTCCCGATCTCCCGACCGAAGTCTATACATGGCTTCAGGGAAGACGTCGTTCCAAAACTGGAACGTTTGGGGGTCATTCAAGGCTGGCCTTGGCGCAACGTAATGGCCCTTTGTCGATACAGATGAACGGACCGTCCGACTGATACTCGCCGACTGCGGCGTGAGCATCTGGCCATTTGGGGTATACTTCCCAGATGTGGGGTCGTAGCGAGCTGGAGGGTTGACAAAGATGGGATGGTGATCTGGAAGCTGATTGTCGATGAAATCAACAGTCGGGGGCTGAAGACCGAGCCGAGTTATGCGATGGCTAGCCATGAATGTTTGCATTGGTAGCGATAAAGCTGTGCTTGCTCAACATGACGAAGCTGACAATGTATCCATGTCAGGCTGAACGCGGGGATGCTTCCAAACGTCAGCCGCGCCAACCATACAGCCTTTACTGTATGGCCTTTCAATCGAGCGAGAAACTTATACCGATTAGGGCAGGCCGCTCTCCCGACAGCTGCGTTGTGCATACGGGTTTTCAGTATCATCTTGAATTTTTTTTGAGCCCCAGTTGTTCGTGCTCACCCATAGGCGGGGTTCAACTAGTGAGGCATACGTGGTTCTCAGGTATTGGCTCATGACAGACTGCATCTCGTTGCGACAGCTAGATACCCCTCATATAAGTGTTAACGCTTAGATATAAGCAACTGAAGGTCGGATTTAAGGGTCGCGAGTCGGTCGCTCTTGGTAACCAACTGAAGCAATTACAACTTTCTATGAAGTGACCCGATTAACGTTACATATGAGACTTTATTAACCAGTCGTGGCTCGCCCAGCAATACCACACCAAGAATGGGAATAGAAGGCATAGATACAGAGGCCCATAGGGTCGAAACCTCGGGGATTGGGTCCCTTGAGGGGACTCGACCCTTGGGAACTACCACTGAAGAGAACGAGAACAGGAGTGACCCCCATATCTTGAAAGTTCATAGTGATAACCCTACCGAGAAGGGCGACTCCTCTCTAGCACCAGATGTCAATAGTGCCATTGGTGATGTTCAGGCTTTGAAAGAAAAGATTATCCAGCTTGAGGGCCAGATTCGAAGAATAAATGCACCCACTGAGCAACAAAAGCCTTCACCACAGCAACAGGAAGATGCAGTTGATTTCGAACGAATGGAACAGTGCCTATACCGGCACAGGAGGGACTGGGAGAGGGGCGTCGAGCCGGACTCCTTTGACATGGTTTCTGAGGTTCGCAAGACCGACTCATCCCGGTTTGGGCCCTGGACATATCATTGGAAACCGAACCTCCACGAAGAATACATACGGCCGGATCCTTTTGACCCTCGTCACAACTGTGTAGAGTCCCAAGACGACCCAAAGATACCTGATGAATATGACCGTACTATTGACTATGGTCAAAGGCGCGACAGACTACGGAAACACTTCGAATGGGAGATGGACCGCCTTTACCTAGTCGAGGAGACTGAAAGCCGTCGGCAAGCCAGAAGGGAAAGAGAACAAGCACAAGTGCAACGTCAGAAGGATATCAACCAACCCGTACAGAACTCGGAGCGGGATGAGCAAAAGAAACATGCTTCAGAAACGACGACTACGGACGCGGCACATCAAAAAGTGGTTGCTTGTGAGTGTAATGTCAACCGTCTTGAATGGGCTCAATTCAAGCGTTCGACTAGATTGTTGGCAAACGATGAATGTGTCATCGACGTCCTAGTTGGAGACCCGGTCCTGGATAACGAAATCCCCGGCTTGGAGAGGTGGTTTGGGTACACAGGTCCCGGTGTGCGTAAAGTGACAAAATCCCAGGATACCAATGCCTTTGACGCAATGGCGCCTGGACAAGCACCCCTACCTGAGAGGATCCGCATCTACTCGTTGATTATCATCACCATTCTGTCCAAAATATTGGGATCAGACGGCAGTTCACTCGTGGCCGGGGGGCCGATCGTCTTTGTCAGGCCTTTCAAAGCACTCATTTACTGTGAGCGAGCCTTGCGCGATTGGCACATGGCACTACAGAAGAAGTTCGACTCAGCGGCCAGAATCGACGTGTCCACTGGTGCGGGAAACATTGACCGTAATGCAACAAAATATGATAATGCTTCTGTAGCCGAAGATGACCAGAATCGACTTCCCGCAAAAGAGTCGTCTGGCACAACAGGACCATCGACAGGCCGCGAAGCCACTATGGCTCAAGAAGGCCTCGATCACGATGGTGAAAAGGGTCGTGGTTATAATGCCATGCGTGTGGATGAATACGAGAAGGAAACCAACAACGACGATGAAAAGAAAGACGATGAGGACCCCGACGACATAACAAAATCACCAATCGCACTACAGCACCTGAGTTGTCTTTTGAGTCTGATGGACTCCGACATATCACCCAAGCAGAGACATATAGCCACACCCAACTACCGGAAAGTCTTCTTCTCTGATCTGTGGCACATCTTCCGGCCCGGGGTAGAGGTGATTGGCCATGATGGCAAGCAGGCCTATCGGGTGATCAAAGCGATGAGTGCTAAGCATCGGGTGGTACCAACCTGGAGGCAACGATGGCATGACATAGACAAGAAGGAACAACCACCGTTCAGTGTTATTTGCGTCTACATCGACTTTGACGGGAAGTCGCTTGGCCCTGTGACTCAAGTGTTTGACTTTAAGCGGTTCGAAGGCGAGAGGGAGATAACATCATTAGAGATATACCCTCTTCGCTGTCACCCACTTCGGAAGTCTGACTTTACAGAGAATGAGTGGAAAAGGGTGGACTCTCTCCCCTCTCACGACAAGTATCGGCGAAAACTTATACGGCGGGGCGCAAAGTTCCTGGAAGTTGCTGGAGTGAAGCATATGTACTATGCTGGGCCAACGTTGATCGTTCGGGATGAGGTGGAAAGCCCGGTTGTTATCGACTTTGAAACAGCCTTCTCGGTAGAAGACAAAGAACAGCAACAATGGCAGCCTCGTTTGGAAATGCTGATTGGAGAATCTTCTTCGGAGATCGAAGAGAAACAGCCAGGATGCACAGGGGTTTGTTGTGAGAATGAAAACGTGCATGACGACATCTACGTGGACGAGAAGCAGAGAACAGAATACATAGATAGTCTCTTACCCAAGGGGAATGTCGTGGACGAGCCCCCGTCGGTTGCCATCATTCCTCGACTGCTGGAGGAGGTAAAGACCGGTCTTGATGGAGCTCCAGTGATCTCCGATGATGAGTTGATGATCATGTCGTACCGTGTATTTGGCTTTGTGCTGCGCAGCCGCAAATGGGGTAGGTCGTCCGACAAAGGCTTACTGTACAATGTTAACATGTCTCGACCGCAGCAAATCTGGACCTAGCCTATCTGACTGACATTCACCCACTGCAAAAGTCCCCTTCATTGGCCGGAGACCCTGAACAAGAGGACCACAAGAAGGCAGAGCCCGTGACAGCCTTTGATCAGCTTGTTCTTGAGGAAGGACACAAACCGATGATCGTATCGCTTATAGCACAGCACTTCCGAGACAAGAAAATGGCATCAGATGAAGGAGAGCAATTTGACATTGTCAAAGGAAAAGGTGCTTTTTTTTATTTGGATTGATAAATTCTGAGAAAGCTATTAGACTAATACGAACTCCAGGAAAGGGATTGATCCTACTCCTCCACGGGGCCCCTGGAGTGGGCAAAACATCCACTGCTGGTATGTGCTATGAGGCGGTACTTGAAGCTGAAGACTGCTAACAAATCCATGCGAACAGAGGGTGTAGCCGAGCTGTTCAGAAAGCCACTGTTTCAGATTACATGTGGTAGGTCCCCGTTCATACAGAGTTGTAGCGTACTCTGGGGGAGGTCTTACTAACGCTGTATAGGTGACCTTGGCACTACTGCAACAGAGGTCGAAAAGGCCCTGGAAATAAACTTTACTCTAGCTAATAGATGGGATTGCATTCTTCTCCTCGATGAAGCGGATGTGTTCCTCGCGGAGAGGACCAAGGAAGACTTCAAACGAAACGGACTCGTCGCCGGTGGGCTAACAATGAAATAAATCCAACATCCCGAAGAGGGGCTAACCCGTGACTAGTCTTCCTTCGCGTCATGGAATACTACGCAGGCATTCTTTTTCTAACAACAAACCGCGTTGGAGATTTCGACGAGGCTTTTGCCTCACGCATCCACATCAGTTTGTACTACCCGGATTTAAACCAGGGCAAGACAGTCGAGGTGTTCAAGATCAACATGGACATGATAGAGGAGCGCTTTAACAGAAGAGGAAGAAAAATTGACATCGACAAAGTTGGAATTGGGAACTTCGCAGGCCAGCACTTCCTTGAATATCCACATGCCCGCTGGAATGGCAGACAGGTCCGGAACGCCTGTCAGACAGCTCTGGCCTTGGCTGAGTTCGAAGCCCAGGGGAATAGCCACGAGGCCATCCTGAATCCTGATGCCATCGTGAAGCTCAGCGTGGACCACTTCAGGGTTGTTCGAAATGCTTATCTTGAGTTTACAAAGTACATCAACGACCTTTACGGTACGAACGCTGCGCGCCGCGCAAAAGAAGCCCGCCGACGAGCAATCTGGATGAACGACGATGATAACACCGACATGGGAGGTAGTGTAGGGGACAGAAGAAGGGCATTCTTCATGGCGTCGCAAGGCCAGAAGCCGACAGCTTTACATCAGTCCCAAACACAGTTCAACACGCATCAGCAATATCCCGAATATGTGAACGTTGCTGTACCACAGCCATCCTACCCCGATCGGAGCCAAGTTCCAACACCGCTCTTCTATAGCGTTCAGAATCGGGGTAGCCCTAATATACCGGCTGCGGGTGCACCTGGCTCTCACTTCCCTATATCTACAGAGGAACGGAATCAGATGCTACCGCACCGGCAGAATGCTGGACAGTCGGTACAACAGCCACCGCAACCGTTCGATCCTGGGTTAAACCAGAGCATGCAAGGCATGTATACAGCCGGTGGCCAGCAGAGCATGGGGCAGATGCAGACGCCTAACATATCCCCTGGCATTGCGGGTAGCTACGCTTCAGTCAACACTGCCCCTAGGCAGCAATGGACCAGAAACACAGGGTGTAACGACTCATAAGTGTCCCAACAACTCATTCTTTCTTGATGAATAATACGTCACAGCGACACGGAGGGAAAGGAGCTCCGCACCCATAAACCTAGATTTTATTTTCGTCGCAGGAAATAGAACTAGTATATCTTAAGCTCAGGGAGACCTAGCCCTAACCCCAAGCTATGCTTTGGATTTTTCTTATTCTCAGATTCTGCTCTTAAATTTGTTAGGATTTAGACAACCTTGTTATAAATCTTCCAGTAGTAGATGTAAAGTCCTGGTTGAATTAGATCAAGAAAAATATTCTGAGATTTGATTACAACATATAATAAACTTGCAAACTCTGAGAGAACCCTCCCAAAAAGGCTCTATTTCATTAAAATGAATGATCAGGAAATAGAAGTGACGATATAGAGAGACTGTCTTTTGCGTCCCACTATTAGATTAAGTTCTCGGTCACGTTCGGCACCCGCGGACTCCGACCGCCGATCAACAACCTTGTGTTGGACGCATCATCTCATAACTTCCCCATCGGATATTATCAATCAATCACACAAAACGGATCCGGTCCTCCATTTCAATCAGACCTGTCAAGTCGGCCATTATTCCCAAATCCGGCGTTTACGGGTCATGTCCTCCCCGGACATGGAGGCCGAGGGCCCCGAGACCGACAGTCGCGAGTCGCTTAACAGACGTGCGGTATGTACTCCACCGATATGGCACTCTAGTTTCATGTTGGATTCGACGAAGGGATAAACTGACTGGATGTAGTGTGATCAATGTCGTTTAAGAAAAGTATGCGCCCTTGTGCAAATTACTACACTAGTTTGAGATGCAGGCTGGGACTCGTCTAACGTGGCCATTGTACTATCTAGATACGCTGCGACAAGCGCTCTCCCTGCTCCAACTGTCGCAGCTCAAACATTGTCTGTCGCTCCACCGGTGCGGGTCGAAAGCCTCGCGAGCAGCGTCAGCGGGTGCTTATTTCTAGTCAATAGTATACCCCCCTTCCCAGACGGGCGTTCATGTCCAGTAAACCCTCCTAACCAATCAACAGTGAACGCAAGATCGATCTGATCGAGAAGCGTCTGGGAAACATCGAGAAAATCCTCCACGAACTCAAAGCCGGCGCAAGCACAATGACCACGGAGCCGTGTTTCCAGCCGACGCCGACATCGAACCAGATGAGTCCGTCTGCAGCGGGCCCGGTCTCCAACGCCACGACCACGCTCGGACAGCATGAGATGGTCCCTGCCTTCGAGGGCAATTCATCTTTGTCAGCCCATTCGGCCTATGCAAGCGAGTTTCTCGAATCAGCTGTCTTTCGTAGCGCCCTCCAAATGTCGACCCCGAAAATTGGAGCGGCTCTCGCGACCCTCAAGAAGATGGTCAATATGCAGGATAACCAGGTCCCGTCGTCGCTTCGCGAAGCTCGCTTTCCCAGTCAGAAAGTCGGGTCGAGTCCTGAGTTGCGCGAGCTTGCTATGCCACCTAGCCAGGTGGTATTGTCCATACTACGCCGGCTCAAAGGTATCTGCCTCTATCTCTCCCCCTCCTCGTGGGATTGCGCTAATCCGTGAAGAACACCCGTCGTCCACCATAAATGGACTATGCCCATTTGTTTCCTCGGAACGCCTGGTTGAAGCGTGTCGCGAAGTCTACTTTGCCACCGAGGATTACTCCCAGTCTACTTTCATCGTGGTGAACGGATGTCTGTACTATCTGTTTGAGGAGTTTACCTACTATGGCGGGGAGCACGAGATGACGGACGCCTACAGTAATTACTCCCAGATCTGTCGCACGAACCTGGAGATTGCGCTGGCGCGCATGAGTCTTCTGATGCCTGTGCGGGATGAGTCGATTGAGGCGCTTGCCTTGGGGGTATGTACCCTCTCCCCCTTACCGTGGCGATGCTGACCAACAGACTATATACGCCATCGAAATTTCGAAACCGTCTTTCGCCTTCACCCTGAGTTCGACTGCGGCTCGTCTGTGCCAGGCCCTAGGTTACCACCGCTCGTCATCTATGGAGCACGATACCAAGAGCATCAAAGAAAAGAAGCTGCGTCTCTTCTGGTCGGTGTATTGTCTCGATAAGCCCTTGGCATTACGTCTGGGCCGGGCGTCTACCATCCAAGACTACGATATCTCCCTGCCGTGGACGATTGAGTTGGAAGGCATCGCGGAGCCGTGGGGGCGTGTGTACCAGTTGTGGATTAAGCTGGCCCGGATCCAGGGCCAGATATACGAGCAGCTGTATAGTCCCGCCGCGCTGTGTCAAGCGGAGAGTGAGCGAGCGTCACACGCTCGTCACCTGGTTGCCGAAACGCAATGGACAGTCATGGAGCCTTTTGCGGTATGTTCTCCTCTTGAGTTTTTATACGTTAACTAACTAGGTAGGAACTGAACGGCAATCTTACAAATGTCTCCGCCATGGACCGGATGTACCTTAAGACCGATGAGGTAACCCGCCAATCGATCGTGACCTTGATCTACCGAGCTATCCCGCCGCCTGTGGGGTCTCAGAGCACCTTCCTTCAAGAATGCATCGATACCGCACGGTCCACTCTCGAATGCCACCACAACTGCATGGACATGTTGAAGGAGAGCACTGAACACACCAAATGCTCATATTTCCATTGGACCATCCTCTTCTCCCCGTTCGTCCCGTTCATAGTCCTCTTCTGCCACACCATCGAAGTCTCGTCGCGGACGGACCTCCATCGCCTCGAAGAGTTCGTTACCTCCCTCGAACCACACCGCGGCTCGTCCGAAGCAATCGATAAAATGCACCGTTTGTGTCAGGTGCTCAGCAGCGTCGCCCGACTCTATCTCGAAGCGAAAGCGCAGGCGCGAACGCAGGAGAGCGACGCTATGGCGTCTGTAGGCCAAGAGTTTGACACGTACCTCAGCGCGCTGGGCCTGGCTCCTGTGCCGATGGAGGACGGCGAGGCGACTGGCCCAATGCCGGAGGCTTCGGCTTCTTCTCCACCCGATACAGTACCGCCGTCGACGCTGGGAAATTGGTATTCGGGGAATCAGCATATGGTGGGTTTGTTGGAGGAGGACCTGTCGCTGTTTGATCCATCGGCTTGGTCGTAAACTCCGAGTCATTGTCTCAGTATCTGGGTCACCTGGCCAGCCAACTGGTGGCTAAAAATGTATATCGAGCCGAGTACCACGACCGAGGCAGATACGGTACCTAGCGACGCAAGATGTCTCACTTAATCGAACATTACTCGTCTGCGGCGACAACACTCCAGGCTCCATCTGCAGGAACACCCCTTGTCGAACCGGCATTAGTCTTAAGGCCATCGGGAAGCAACAGAGCCTCGGAAGAAAGCAAACTCGAACTGAGACATATTTCCGTTTGGGAATAGGTAGAGTTGGCTGTCTGTGGGACAAGGTCCATGTCGGCCTTGGCGGGTCTGCGGATGAGGGCAGGCTATGCCACACGATCAATTCAACCTGACCAAGCCCCTCACCAGCCGCATTATGCACGCATCGTACCTCCTCGCCACTCCTCGCTCCTCCACAGTCTCCTTGAACGGCCCCAACGAGAAAGAACTGGAACCACGATCATCCACATAAACATCAAGATACTTCCGCGCAAGCCACTCCACAAACCCATCCACGTCCCCCAAGCTGCTCATGGCCCCTAAAGAAACTCTCACTATTCCCGTCGCACGCCCGCCGACCTCTTGAATGGGCGCCGAACAGCGATGCCCCGCCTCAAACGCAGCCACCCTATCGTGCATCTTCGTCCACCCCAGATATGACATTCCCCCAGGGTTACAAACCGACCCACTCCGAAGATACACGCCGTCTGCATCCGCCGCGCGTTCCACGTCCGCGTACCCATGGGCCCTTCCTGCCGGATCCACCACAGCCATCGCGACAGTCGGACCCTGCAGCACCGGGTCCCCAAACGCAGGGCGCCCAGAGCCGGTATACACGCGCACCAGCTTGCTGCCGTTCGCGTGCCGCAGCCCATCCAACGCGGTATACAGCCGCGAGGTCAGGAATGCACAGTGCGCCGACACGCGTGCCATACCGCCGAGTAGGTCCTCGTGCAGACGCACCGCGTGCCCCACCGCCAGCAGGGAATGGAACGGCAGCGTACCGTCCTCTAGGGCATCGTGCAGCGTGTCCGCCTTCACAGCGTGCCAGGCCCGCGACGAAGATGACCCCGGACTCGAATTCGCCACCATGTCCACCGTGCCGCCGCCGAAGTAGCGCGCCTGCGAGACTAGCAGGTGCGCCGAGGCCTTGCGCACGATAAGACACCCCACGTCTGGCAGGCCGAAGATCTTGTACAGCGACACGGCAGTGAAGTCCGGCGCGGTGTCCACGTCTGACAACGACAGCGGACTCGTCGAAGCCAGCGCTGCAGCGTCCCACAGCGTGTAGGTTGTTTTGTGCGCGCCATTGCTCCTAATATGCGCTGGCCTGTCATATACCGTTAGCAGCGTCATCTACCACAGCACAGTAAACCTCAAAAGAGCATACCAAGACCTCGGCAACCGCCTCCCCGTCATATTACTTTGTCCCGGATACCCCAACAGGGTAACCATCTCCTCCATCCTCGGCATCCCCAACCTCGCCTGCCAAGACCAGGCCGACCCGCCACGACGAATCCACCTCTCCACAGCGGCATCGTCCTCAAGACAGACACTCTCCGCCGCCATCTGCCTTACTCCCACAAGGCTGGTATGCGAATCCTGGTGATACACATAGCGGAAGCCGCGGCCGCCGCCCCCCTGCGCCAGACACTCGCCCACGAGCTTCACAGCCGCGGTGGCATTCGCCGTGAAGACGAGGTCGAAGTGCTGCGGGCTGGCGCCGAAGAAGTGCAGTAGCTGCGTGCGCGCGGCCGCTACGCGCGCACTTGATGTCCGCGACGGCGTGCTCTCTGAGTGCGGGTTGCCGTAGATGGCGGATTGGAGGTCTGCCGTGTAGGCGTTGACTAGCGAGCGGGCGTAGAGGGTTGCGCCGGCGTGGTCGAGGTAGATTATACTTCTATCATTGTTGTCTCTGGTGGTGGTGGTTGTTAGAGAAGGATACTCGACAGGACGGATAGTGTCGACGGCTTCGTTGTACGCTGTACCCATTTTCGATCTATGTATGTATGTATGGATGTTTTGATTGGAGTTTTGAACTGGACTTGTCGACGTGTATTTATACCTACCTACCCGCCCATCTACCTATGTACTATCTCGGAGCGTGATTTGATATCATGTCTTGGAGACTGCACTACCGGCGTGATGGGATAGGACTAGCAGGACAGGGATGACAGCCTTGCATTATCACATTGACATTCATTCACATTGAATTTAATTATTTCATTGTCGTGTTTGTTTGCATCTTTGTCTTTGTTTCCATCCTCATCCTCTAGTCATCTTGATCGTCATCCCTATTGTCACGCTTATCCTCATCCATCCCATCCCATCCTCGTCCTCAGCTACAATACGGATCGAATAATCGTACCAACCCAGTAATCATGGTCATAATCACAGTCAGTATCCCAATTAATAACCAGTAAATAAAACAACATACGTCAATAAAATAAACCAATAGATTGAAAAAGAAATGAGCAAGTATGTGAAAAACCCCCCCAGCCCCAAACCCAGACCCGATCTAAACCAGGCAAGACATGTCTCTCCCGTTGATATCCAAGGAAATCTACATCTGTCTCACGAGGCAATCCTTGAGATCGTGTTAGACTCGCACAACACAACACTGACAAGGTAGAGAGGCAGGGAGGCAAGCAGGAACGATCATCCTGGGGATCTGATCTATCTAGGATCTATCGCGTGGAGTGGACAGGGAATAGGAGATAGGTAGATAGTCAACTATCTAGGTAGCTTAGGTTAGCTGAGCTCAGATGAGATGAGATCAGATCAGATCATACAAGGTCAGCTCTGCTCTTTCTTCAGATCAGACCAACTGTATCCGCGCAAGCGGATGACACGCTGTTAATGCATGTTCGTCTAGGGCAGGGATTGGGGAGGGAGGGTCCCAGGATGGGCTGATGATATGGGATGGGGCGCGGATTTTTAAGGATAGGGCTTGTTGGGTGCTTTTTATAGTATACGATGTATACTGCACACGAGGTCTTACTATAGCATTATTCTATTCTACTCTGTTCTATTGTATTGTGTTGGGCGGAAGATTTCTGTATTATTGTTGCATTCTGTGTCTATGGACTAGATATACTGGTATAGTATTTTCTATAAATTTCCTAACTACCTAAATATCTATCTATACACCCGATATAACAACAATACATTATCCACCAAACACCTCAAAAACAAGCCCAAACACACCACTGCGAAAGTCAAAAGATAGCACAATCCCAAACAAATGATAATTACTCAACTGCAATCCACATTCCCCCCCAACGCCCCTCCCCCTCGCCCCCATGAGCCACCCAGCTACATGCACTCCAATCCCGAGGTAGCATCCCACCTAGGCTAACAAAGTATGGTGATCCCAATAGTATATAAATATAGCACACAGAAACAAAAGCAAGTCAACAGCACAGCACGATATCGGTACACACAGTGCAGTGCGGTGTGATGTGTCCGTCGTGTTTGTGTGACTGTCTATCTATTATATCGCTAGCTAGTTACTGTTAGATAGCTGACTGGCTGGCTAGTATTTTCCTAGGGATTGGCTATTGGTGATGCGATCTGCATGGGAATCGATGTCAGTGGGATTGTAGATTAAGGATAAATGTTTTAATGCTGTTGAGGTGGTGTCGTTGAGTTGCTTTGGGGTTGGGTTTCATTAGGGCTGGATATTGTATGGAGTGTTATGCCCTAACTACCTACCCACCTATCTATCTCCCCCCCTCACTACATCTCCTCTCTACCTTACTATATACTCACACCTCCACTAACAACTTCTCTACAATCCAGCAGAATCCCGCCCAAACCCCCACTATTACATTCCTACAACAGAGAAATCAGATCAAATCTGACGTGATATAGCCCCCCACCACAGCCACAAGATTCCAATCCTAACCGTCCCAAACAACATCAACAAATGCAGGGATAGCAAGCCCGCCCTGATGGCGAGCATTTAGCCCCGGATGGGTAGGGTCCGAGACGCCACGCGCTGGGATAGAGTATAGCGTGGTGATTTGTTTGTTTTTATTTACTTTTTCTTCATCTTCTGTTATTAATGGTTGGGATGGATGGGGATGGATGGGTTGGTTTGCTACTTTTTCTTTGTTTTTACTGACTGATTACTTTACTTTACTTCCTCCGGGTGGAGTGAGTTAGTATTCGTGAATAATTAATATAATACATAGATAAATAATATCATTATATACAATCAATTAAGCTGAATAAATCAAGAAGAAAAAAAAAAAAAATCACCTCGTCTCAACCGACGAAACAACATCCACATCAACAGTCTTCGTAATCCCCTGCGCCAGCCCCGGCCTCTCCCTCTCGCCATCGCCCCTCACCGCCGACCGCATCTTCGGCTCCTCCGGCATAAGGATGTAGTGGTCCGAGCTGTGGTCCATGTCCATGATGCTGCTCATGCGCGTCCGGCTGCGGTCCGTGCGACTCGAAGGGTTCTTGAACTTGCTGAGCTGGTACGTCGAGCTCTGCGTGGCGCGGCGGCTGGAGTATTCGGTCTTGGCTTTGTGCGCGAGGGCGGACATTGCGGGTAGGCAGGCGCAGATGACGCCGATGGCGATTTCGGCGTTGCTTTGTATTGGTGTTTGTGGTGAGTTTCTTGTATTATTTTGTACTGTATACCACGGTATGGGAGGAGCTGGGCCACGGAAGAAGCTGGAGACATACCCGAACATATTCACCCGCATAAAGGCAATAGTCGCATCCTTGGACTGCCCCGTCAGCAGGATCAGAACCAGTCGAATGATGCTGGATGCGCAAGCGAGTCCGCCTGCTCCGAGGATGACCATGACACGCATTTTCTTCTTCAAGGGCAGTTGCAGGCGCACGGTGAGTGGCAATGGGACTAGCAACACAATAAAATCGCTGACTACGCTGACGACTGCGTCTGCTAGGATGATGGACGACTGGTCCAGGCATGACCCCGGCAGATCTGGCACCCAGAACTTGGCGATCGGGTCGCAGATGCGGATCTTCACGATAACGGCGGGGATGTAGTATGCTAGCATCAGAGCTAGGAAGAAGTAGATGAAGATGACGGATTTGCGGAACGGGCTGAATACGCGTGTCATGATCCATAGGAGGGAGAGCTTGGTGAGGTAGGCCGTTGGGCCGTAGAGGACCATTGTTACGTATACGGTCTGGACTTGTGAGTGACGCTCGTGGGGTCGATGTTTCTTGGATGACTTACTTTTTGGAACGGGATGTGGTGTGCTTCTGGGACGTCATCCCAGTGTACTCCGCCTCCGAAGTGACTCACTGATGGATGCTGTTAGTGACAGGTGCGACAAGACAAGACGAATGCGTACTTATAAGTGCGACGATAGAGTAGCCCACCCCAAGAAACTATACACAGTGAGAACACGTCAACGCAGAACCGGTGGCCTTCATACCCAAGCGCCGAAGCATATCCCTGAAATAGTCAGCTCCCGTGACCCTCATTTTGCCGTATAGGGCTCGATGAGACTCACAGTCCTCCTTGGTAAACCCATTCAAGATGAACATTCGGGTGTATACCCGCAGCGCAAAGAATATAGTCATCCCCCCAATGCATAGCGACTGCGTCGCATAGTTCCAATTCTGCATCGACCGGTCCGGCGACGCCATATCTCGTCCTCTTAACTCGAGAGCGGCCATCGTGGTTACCGACTCGTTGGAAGCACTGGGACCGTCCAGTGCTTAGCTGCGTGTGCGTCGGGGTCCAGTCTAGGGTTAATAAACCATGAGCGATGATGGTGATCAGATGGGGGAACTTGATAGCTCGACAGGTAAAATTCGTATCGATAGACCACCAGGCCCATTATTCGCCGCGATGGGAGAGACTGTATATTGCAGCTTCTAACATAAACGCCAGGGGATGCAAAAGCGAACGCTAATCTCCATTCGTAAGGAATCAGTCGTGCTGGGTGCACCAACTCCAGGGGAAAGCAACTATTAAGATAGAGAATAAGTCGTGCAGAGTCTTGATCTTCTCGCTGAACACGCCCGTTCCGGTCCGCCGGCGGATACTACTGGCAAGAATGTTGCTGCCAAGCGGTACATCATTGATACAGAGAAAATTGGAGATCCCTTCGCTCTTGAGTCTGCTGCTATTGGCTCTGGCGGATATTGTGAGCCCGACCATAATCTTAGAGTCGGCGCCTTGACTGGATGCATCCAGGCTCCCAGAATACTGGATCGCCATATTGGTGGAGCCCACCATACGGTGCTACTTGCAATTTGCTACCATGTCCTTCATCTCCATACGGTGGGGCCTGTCGAATATCCTCAGCGAGCCATTTTCCCGTATCATAACTCATCAGGGGAGTTCCGAAGATGGTCCAACCCCTTCACAGCTCAAATGAAAACCAATGAGATGGCGGGTTGCACCGCCATGCAGAAGTACGAAGCAGTCGACATCTGTGAAATCACGATGTGATGGGTCAGGAGGAGAACGGACGAAAAACCTCAGGAACAATATGATAGAATGCCCCACATAACGCTTACCAGTCGCACATCGTATCACACCATAACCATATTATTCTGCGACCATCTATCGCTAGCCCCCACCAGCCATATGATCGGGATGACTCTTTCCTTGTCGGGTTGAATTGCTAACGACCCGCAAATGCAAAACCCAATTTCTGCCACCGTTTCTTGACCCGGGTACTCAGGCCGAAAATGGACCCGATACATGATCGACAGTGGAACGGCCAGTAACTGAGCATGCGGATTGCCTCATGGGTTGGCCGATCTGGGTTGTACAACGCTTTGACTTCGGGCCCAAAAAGCTAATTCTTCCATCGGGGCGGTCATTGTCTCGATAGTGACTATCACAATCTGGCCATCGACAGATGATTGACAAAGGTACGGAGATGCACCGAGTTCCAGACACGAAGGATCAGCCAATATGGTTTGGCCATGGGTCAATCTTAAGACGCTGGATAGGGGTTAGCGGCCATCGGACTAGACGTGGGCCGATTTGCGGGTGGCACCGCCCTGGCTTGATTAGCTTCTCGCAGGCCCCACTGCCCCATTGGTGAGGTTTTAGGTAAACAATGTCCCTGTAAGAAGGTGGGTTTGTTCCCATATAGCGATGCTACTGTTCCTTTCTGACAGCTGGGTTCGAAGAGATTGCCAACGAAGCCATACTATTTCGCCAATTTTCATGATCTCGGCGGGAGACATCACCCTTGCATGATTAGGCCTTTCGATCGATCGTGCAACCAGCGCGACGACCGTGCGGCACGTTTTTCTTCTTCCAAAGCCAAACGCGTTAGTTCGAGACTACTTCGAGATCCCTGTCCGCAGTCGAGCTCCACCGTAGCTCCGAATGACATGGTTTCAGCTATGGTGATAGAAGACAAACGATCGTCGACTGATCCAAAATTAATAACGCGGACGGCAGATGGGTCTACTCACGGGTTGCAGGGTCATTGTTCCGATGCAAACGCACCCCGTATAATCAAGTATCATTGGTCCGAGGCTCTCTGTCGGAGTGTTGGCTGACCAGCAAACCATAGAGATTTGACACGTCCCCGATCGGCCTCATGTTTCGGAAGAAACCCCACGAATAGAAGGGGGAAAAGATCAAAAATAAACCTTCAACTTTTTGTGTCTCCAACAGTACGCAATAGATCAATGTGCTTAAAGTTATAGATGTTATAGCTCATTCAGACAATGTGATGAATTGAGGGGGTAGCTAATCCTAGTCATGGCGTATCGGCAATCTCTGTCTGCAACAGGGATTGATATGATATGGGGTAGGGGATGTGACCGAGTATTGGACTCACTCCCAACTATGGTCTAGAAGACTGCCATGATATTTGGAGGGGATGACACCCCCCCGGGCATATTCAGGGGAATAGAGGCAACGAAGAAGCTCCAGCGCTGATGCTCCTGGCACATACGAGCCAACGCTTCGAGGTCAAACAGCTCGCCTGATGGAGGGATTGATCAGTCACATCGGCCTTTTAGTGTGGGACTCCGTTAGCCAACGGCCGGGTCGACTCACCGATTGGCATCCCCCATCCTGCAAGAACATACTCATGCAGGAAAACATCCGCTTGGGGTGGGTAAACCTGCGGATAGCATCCCTGTCAGTCTAACGGTCGATGTTGCATCCTGGAGTCAACGGCCGTCTCACCTCCCAGCTGATCGAGTCGCTCGCGATGGCAGCAAATCCGGTGTCCCACAGCCACCGAAGCATGTCAGTAGTTGCTTCCACCCCTGCATGTAAGGGACTCGGGTTATTGGAATACTCCTGTTTTTGAGCATCGGTCATGACCGTGTCCCACTCCTTGGTAACTCCGACCCGAACAAACAGAATATCCCCTTTCTGGAAGGTGATATTGCATTCTCGCGCTATTTCCACAATATCGGCGAGCCGGACCTGGTGCGTCGAGAAGGTACTATACTTGATCCCCTTTTTCTCGGCCCACGCGGCATAGTCGATCAACACCCCCCGACCTATCATGGTTACTTGAGGCGCTGGACGAATGGAGGTCACCAACTGGAGGAAGAGGATCATACCTGCAATGCCTTCCCGTGCCCAATGCTGCAGACCAATCCGGTCATTCGTCCGATCGGTGATTTCTTCGCTCGTGGTACCACCGTAGAAGACTCGCTGCGTCTGGCCGGGAACCGTCTGGGAGAAGTGCCGCAGTCCGTCCCACTGGCTACTTTGCTCTAGAACACATTAGCCCAGGGGCGCCAAGGCCCAAACGGTCCAAGGAGACGGAACGTACGAGGATTCATGGTAAAGATGTCGTCGAAGGCCACCCCACCTAGGAGCGGGACGATCTGATGCTGGCATGGCTGGCGGTTCAGATTAGGATAGTCAAGCTTCGTCATGTCCCATCCCATGGTTACGCGCCGCCCGGTTCTAATTTCGGCGGCCGCCGCTTTGGCGACCACATCTGGGGTCAGGATAGCCAGCTTTCCCAAACCTTCCTCGTAGCTGCCCGGTTTCCCAACCCAGACCTGCCTGGGGTTGGGGAGCTGGTCGAAGGGGATATCAAAGGGGGAAGGAGTTGCCATTGTTGGTGTACAGAGACGGGGTCGATCAATGCGAGGTAATCACGTCAATATCCCACAACGGCGGCAATGGAGACGGCGGCAGTGGAAGAAGAATTCCGTATGTAAGCTCCATGCAAGGGTCTCTGCGTGGCATAACGGCGTCATGTGCTTTAGTTAAATCAACGCTTGCTTACTCACCCATGGTGGAAGCTTTGGCTCGTCGGTGTCCCACCCCCCAGTGGATCCATCTCCCGACGACTCGACTGACGAGTGGGATGGGATAGAAGGAGGGGTAATGGCGGCTGTCAAAGCAGGGTAATTGATCAACCCGGCTTGTGGAACTGGGTGGTGGATATTCAGGACCAATTGGGAAGAAGCCATCATAGGGCACCGACGGGGGTCGCACTCTCTGTAGATTGTAGATACTGGACACACAATTGACCCAGTATTCGCCATCCAGATGGGTTAATCCTCCGACCCAATACTTGACTATCCATGAGTATCATTGCACTAGTTGTTATGGTGTCAATTTGGGTTCAAGCAGACATTCCGACGACCATGCCGATCACTGTATGTTGTGGCACGAGGCTCGTTGCGAGACCGACACACGGGACCAAAACACAAGTGTATGCGACCTTTGAAGTTAGAACAGGGATAGTAACCATCAGACGGCAGAGCGAGGCTGACGAAGTGGGGCAGAGAGGAGTTGGTGGAAAGTGGAAGGGGACGCACAAGAAAAGGTGAGTGGGTGTGTTCTTCACATTGGTGGAGTCCAGCTAAAAGGAGAAGGTACCTAAGGCAGCTAACAGATGCCCCACTCTGAACGGGGCCGTTGAGATTTTATAGTAATCCAGGATGGAGAATATGCAAAATCTTCGAGACATTGGATAGTATGTCGTATTCAGGCTCTATATACTGATCGATACTAGAGTCATGTTCCATCTATGAATGGGGGGGGGGCCTATCTATTGTATATTGTATTGCAATGCTACATGCTCATCTACTACATCAAGGGTATAGTGTAGTACCTCAGGAATGATCAGATATGGTACTTTGTGCCTGAGGAATGTGTTTGTCTCCCCAGGCAGACTAGCTTGCCTCAGGTGTCACTTAGTCTCCATCCTCTCTTCTTCTCCCTCTCTCTCTCTCCTCTACTCTTCTTTCTTCTTCCCTCTTCTCCTGATTAGCCTCGTCTCTTAGTCTCAAACCATGACCCTCAACTATTCAATAGTTTCAGTGGAGACCTTTGTTTCCCCTTCTTATCATGACGGAGAAAAGTGTAACTGTCCACTTTTCTCCCCGGTTGGCTGAAGATCTCTTGGAGTGGGACCTGTCGTCCTCCCCTAGTCCCCTCCCACCAATGATCCAATCATTCTAGTGCAACTCATCCTATCGTGGATTGGCACGATCCAGTCAACCTGGTCCTCGGTTGAAGGGCAGGGCGAGAAGGGTGGTCTGGAAGCTAGCTTCCTCTCTCCTTACTGCGTCATCCGCACCACGTAGGTGTGGACTGGACGCACATTCCCCAAACGAACGGGTTCGCATCGGGGTTGCGCCAAATCCACGCTCAAGAATGGGATTGCTGCTTCTGCCGAGAACTCTTATTAGAACTTTTTAGCTCTCAAAATTCTACCGACTAGTCGCTCTTCTGTTTTTGTCCTCCTGTGATTATTCCCGACCCCGTTCTCATCATCCTGGTGCAACGTGCCGCCTCGTTCCACTTCACTGGTCCTTATTTTTGCTTTATCCTTTGACCCTGCAGTTTGACTTTTATTGACCTTTGACGGTCCTGCTTGGTTGAGCCTTGTCGGCATTTCACTCTCGCCTCAGTTTGGACTCATTAATTCCAACTCAACCAACATGGGGACGTTCGGGTCGCAGACCAGCGTGTACAATCGGCTGGTCTCCGTCTTCGTGGCCATTGGGTCCTTGGTCAGTGCCTCCCCGCATCTCTTTCTCAAGGACTCTGTCTCATCAGCCGACCCATCTCGCAGACCTATGGCTATTGCGCCTCCATCATTTCTAGCACCATCGGTCAGCCCGGCTGGTATACCTACTTCAACCTACCCACCGAGAAAGAGCCTGGGTATGCCACCGTCACCACTCCGGTTATCGCCACGGCCAATGGTGTCTTCAGTGCCGGAGGGGCCGTAGGGTCCCTATTCATCATGTGGTCATGTGAATTCTTTGGTCGCAAGGTCAATATTCAGTTGGGGGCCTTCTTTTCCATGTTTGGAGGTGCCCTCCAAGGTGGTGCAAACTCCATCGAGTATGTCTGTACCTTATCCTCAATATGAACGGCATCTAACCGGTTCAAGAATGTTCCAAGCTGGTCGTTTTATCTGCGGTCTCGGAATCGGTATCCTCGTGACCGTGTGTCCCATGTACCTCTCGGAGATGTCGAGTGCCTTCCGCCGAGGCTGGCTCGTCGGCCACCACGCCATCTTCCTCGTCTTCGGCTACATGCTGGCAGGCTGGGTTGGCTTCGCTTGCTACTACGCCGAGGGAAAGCTGGGCACATTTGGGTGGAGGTTTCCGCTGTGTCTTCAGTGTCTGCCGGCCCTGGTCCTCCTGCTGGGATCCCCATGGCTGCCTCGATCCCCGCGATGGCTCATCTCCAAGGGCAAATTCGAGGAGGCCAAGGTGGTGCTGGAGAAACTCCGCGCATCGCCGGATGACCCCCAGCACCTCGTCGCGAAGGAGGAACTCTACCAAACAAAAGAACAGATCCGTCTCGAAGCGGAGCGACTGGCTACGTATGGCAACGTGTGGAAAGCGGTGCTGCAGAAGCCGTCCTACAGGAAGCGTATGGCCATCGGCTTTCTCACCCAGTGGGGTGCGGAATTTGGCGGTCCTCTCATCATCGTGAGTATTGACAGGCTCAAGTCGGGATATCAGGCTAACCCTTGACAGAACAACTATGCCGTGATTCTGTACACGAATCTGGGAGAGACTGGATCAATGCCCCTGCTTCTTGCTGCCGTCTGGCTAACCACAGCTGGTAAGAAACTCCGATTATTGCATTGGCCGTCTTTTGCTCACTCTCCATCCAGGTGTCATTTACAACCCTCTGGGTGCTTGGCTGCATGACAAGGTGAACTCGCGTCGCGGCATGTACATCACCGGTTTTGTGGGGATTATCATCAGCACGAGCTGTCTAGCTGCGATGACGGCCGAGTATGCCGGCACCACAAACAAGGTCGGAAACGGCTTTGGGATTTTCTTCATGTTTCTATATCTGGCTTTCCAGGGGTGAGTGATCTTCTAACATCCATGCTAAATTGATGCTCATCGGATGTAGAACCTGCTGCGACACCACGATGTACCTCTACGTGTCGGAAATCTTCCCAACCGAGATCCGACCTATTGGCATGGGATTTTCGCTTTTCGGACAGTTTGCCGGTATGTTCTGTAGTCTGACAGGACAGGTTGTGGACCCCTACTGACAATCTAGCGACCCTCATCCTGCTCCAAACTGCCCCGATGGGTTTCGCCGACGCTGGCTGGAAGTACTATTTGGTTATCATCTGCTGGTCGGCTGTCTTCATTCCCAGTAAGACGCGTTTCCCCTTGCTTTAGTTATAGCCTCCCCGCTGACCCATCCCAGTTATCTATTTCTTCTTCCCCGAAACTGCCCGCCTCACGCTGGAGGAGATCGCCAAGAACTTCGGCGAAGAAGTCGCCGTAAACCTCACCGAGGCAACAGACGAAGAGAAGGCCCAACTCGAGCGGGACATTGTCGCGCGCTCGGACAGCTTGGTGGCAGGCGACGACACCCGCAAGGAGATGGAAGCTACCAGCACCACGCCCGATTCGGACCGGAGAGAATCAAGGTAGAAAAAGAGTCCAGGCGGGACTCGAAGCCTCACCGACGAAACGTTGAAACTTCATAGTCCGGTGGGAAATTAAAAAAAAGTCGGCTCTGCGCAGAGCACGCAGAGCACGAGCAATGGATGGTCAGACCAATCCGATTCAATACATTAAGGTTAATTCTGCGGGCATAAAAACAGCCCCCCTTTCTATTTTGTTCAATATAACCGAATTTTAATGCAAGAGCCATATGCGTAACATGTACACATCCATAATAAACATCTACAATTGACTTTCATTTTATCATTACCCGGTCCCAATCAATCATACCTAGGACTTGCAACACACCAAGAAGATAGGTGGGGGGTATTCACGAAATATACCTATTAGGAGTATTAGGTCAAGATATTTAATTCACTAGACCCAACGAGCCAACATGTTTGATATCAAGAACCCACCACTCGCGAATTGGTGGGTTGGTCGAATGGCCAAGATCAAACTAGACATGCTAACACACGACCGCAGTAATATTTTGCACCACCACGTAAATATGTACATTCACACCAACACAGTCCTATATCCAGACCCAAGAAACACATACATAATATAAAACATGGGAATATAATATCTATCTATGCTGATCCAGTTCATAGTCACGGAAACAGACCCATCCGTTTCGTTCCCGTTAGCATGTACAAAGTGGAAAAAAAAAAAAAAAAAAAAAAAAGAAAGAGGAAAACACCAGTCTTTCGGTGTATAGGAGCCTGTCCTATTGATTATAACTGGGACTGCCCAATGGCCGGGGGCCATGTATGTCGTCGTGGCATGGAATTAGGACTCGGTATATGCGGCCGGTCCGCTGGATGTATTCACAGGAGGGTGGTAAAGAGAGAGGAGGGGAAAGGGTATAGGTATATGGAGAGGAGAAGTAGTAGGTGGTGAGAACCCAGCACCACTGCTATAAACGAGAAAAAGGGAAAGAAAAGAGACGATCAAGGTAGGAGAATCGAGGATCGCACGTCGTCCATTCGGTCGACCCATCCTTCTGGGAAGCTGCGCTGCTTGAACCACGCGTGCTCTAGTTCTTCTAGGCCCTTTTCGACATTCTAATGCTGCTGTTAGTATGGTCTGGGATGCTGACTCGGGAAGGAGTGAGAAACATACCTTGAACCCAAACCGCTGCAGCTCGATCATCGTTTGTCGTACGTATTTCTGCTCTCCCTCGTCTCGCGTTTCCCTACCCGCCGTGAAGAGCGGCCACAAGACGGCCAGCTGGCCGACGTCTTTGGCCAGCGTGCCTATCAGAGCGAGGATCCGGGACGCGAGCACGTCCATGAGCGCGCGCGGCGTCTGATAGTCTGGACGATCAGCGGCGGCCACCTTGTACAGGAAAATGTTGGTGGCCTGTTCGTACGCCTCGATGCAGCCGGTGTACTCCAGTATTTCCGGGTACGGGAATAGCCGCAGGCTTTCAGCGTCTAGACTGCCGAGTTTCTGGAATGGATCGGGGGCGGCTTTGCGCCACTCGACTAGGCGGCCTAGGATCTCGTTGAAAATCATGTCTTGCTGCGCGTGCGATACGATTCCTTGCTGTTTCGTCTTGCCGAATGCGCTGATGGACGCCTGGATCTCCATCATGACTGACCAGCCTTGTCGCAGTTCGATCAACAGAGGACTGTCCGCCGAGTCGGATGACAAGCTGGGCGTCCCCAGGTTATATTCCCAGCCACCGCCGTGCGTCCGCCAATAGCTGCCCTCTACCACGGTCCCGTCACTTGTCGCGCATGCGCCCGCCACATCTAGGTAGGAAAGGAGGGAAACGAGGAAATTTCGGAGGGGATGGTTGGTTTCGGCGAGGCGTTCGGCTTCTTTGGCGGGATCGCCGTTCGGGAGGAAGAGGATGCGGTAGATTTCGCGGGCGCCTTTCAAATGGATCGCCCAATTGTGATTTTGCGAATCCATCATCTGCTCAGATTAGCGCGCGAAACGAGAAAAGGTGAGGGGATCAGGAACGATTGCGCGCACCTCAAAGAGGGACAGTAACAAGCAGGTGGCGAAATCGCTCAACTGCACGTTCTGCTCCGGTTGGATATACTTCTGCCGGAACGATTTGACTACCTCCCCGTACTTGCCCATCGCATGCTGAAAGTGCGTATTTCGTTGTTGTCCGCTGGAGGTATTGGCCAGGTGGAGAGCCCCCAGCGCCTGCATGGCGCTGGCCACAGAGTGTGAGGCGTGAGCCATGTCGGGGAAATTCCGGCGGAAAGGGTTGATATTGCTGGAATTATCGTAGATCAAGAGCAACGTCGCAACCTGGTCAATGAAATGCGTGTAATATCGACCATCGATGCATTGCAATGACGAAGCCTCGAACCCCGCGAGACCCATAGGCTCTTGGAAGCGGTACTCGACCGGCCTCGACTCGGACACCGTCGTTGGCGACACAATCACTCCATCCAATGATTCCTCGTCCGTATCTTGTTCCCGCTTGATTGATTTTCCATCTGCGCTAGACACATCCAGCGTGCCCGAGATCGATCTCCTATCCCGCTTCTTCGGGGCCGACGACGATTCCGATGGCGGTGGCGGGGGCCCGTAGACCTTAAACGTCATTCGACCCTGGGTGCCATCGCATTCCAACCCTAACCGCGTGCAATTCTTACACGAGGGGGAGGCCTCGTCACAGCGCACATGACGGCGACGACATGTCGAACAGCCTGTGAAACCCCGGTGATGCCAGCGGCGCACTCGTTTTCGTTTCTCCGGAGGGTGGGTGGTGGCGGATAGTTGAGGTTGCGGAGCGGAGGAGGGTGGGCAGACGACGCTGTGGATCTCCATGAGGCGGCGAGGAGATGGAATGAAGAAACCTGTGGGGTAGAGACATGAAGGAGGAGCAGAGTTGCGGTCGAGAGTCCTGTGTGGGTTCGACCGGCGGAGGTGTCACAGAAGGAGCCGCGAAGGGGGCAAAACGGACAGAAGTAGCGGTGCGGAAAGGACAGACAGATGAGATGCAGGCGCACAGCAGACAATCAGAGACGAGGGTGAGGGCAGAAGCTGACAGACAGAGTCATGTCCATGCAGATGGGATGACGAAGCAAGAAAGAAGTTGGAAGTTGAAGTTAAAATGAACTTCTTCTACTCCGGACAAACCTGAGGCATCCTGGGTGGGGCGGGAACTCCAGGCAAAATCGAGCAGGAAAAAACAACTTCAGTTGGAACGGTTTGGGATCCATCATTCTCCTACTTAACCTTCTTCTGACCCCCAAATGAAATCACCGTCCGTTCCCACTCCAACAGCGCGATGGCCGCTGATCGACCTTAGTGGTTGATCTTCGCATGCTCCTCCCAAGCCTAACTCGTTTTCCTCGTGGCTCCGATCCTTGCCTGTTTGAGAATGCTTGGCAATAGGATAACCTTTTTACCGGCCGGACAACCACAGGCCCCGGACACACGGGCTCCAACAGGGAAGACAGAATGAAAGGAGAGACAAAGAAAGCCAAGAAGCCAGCGGAAAAAAAGGAAAAAGTCAAAAAAAGTGAGAAGGAGAAAAAGAAAAAGAACCAAAAATACCGCATTGGTGTCTGCCCAATCGCAATTCTGACCTCACCTCCCCATAAACCCAGTCGACCACCTTTGTCACGTATCTCCACTTCATGATCCACTAATGCGATTTCCACCGATGGATGGTCTTCGCAAGTTCGCACTCTCCCCTCCCCTCTCCTGTCATCGCGTGCTATCATTTGACGATCCTACGAAACTAATCCTAGAACTTTCTGGGCATGGCCGTTCAAACCATGCTGGGAGGATTCGCGCCGCTTGGTCACTAATGCGCCCGTCAAACACTTGCAATTGTTTCCGTGGGGATCTTGATTTGATGGGGTCTATCTGTTTCCTTTACTCCGTGCGCCACTACCGATGCAGATGGAACAATGGACGGTGCTTTTGCTTTTTTCCAAACGTCTGAGGAGGCGGGGGAGATTACTTGGGTAGGTCCTTCCAGCGTCCCAGCATGCACGTTGCTTTCTCGATCCATCCATCCATAATCTCGCATGTCTGTCTCTCAAAGACCACCTAGTCGCGAAAGTGGGCGGGTGGTCCCCGCCCCGTACACTACTGTGGGGACCTACAAATAGCCAACCGCATTTTCCCAGAGGGGCTCGGTGAGGGACTATCCTTGGTTTGCGCTTCTTTGGTCTGCTGTCGCTCGACCAGGAGCTCGCGCGAAAGAAAACAAAACTTGATAAATTCTACAAAAAAAAAAAAAAAGAGAGAGAGAAAAAGAAAAGGAAAAAGAGAAAAAAAAAGGAAAATCTTACAATCCAGCCAGACTAGCGGCGGCATCTGACTTTGAAAGCTTCGGGAGTTTGGGTCCTTCCAGGGGGTCAAACCGCGGTCGATCTTTGACTACGTACTCGATCCTAACTTCAGGGTCGGCGGCGTGTGCCGCATGGTGATCAACCCGGGCTCTACAGGGCGATGATTCGCGGCATTTTACACACCGTAGTATGTCATCACAGCGGGGATGATCCACTGGTTGGGCTGGTCAAGCTCGGCATCTTCAAGGGTTTTTGAACGGCCGGCACAGTTCTTCCTTCTACTCGCATGTGTCGGACTCGGGCGAGATATCACGTCCCAGGACTGAGGAGTGACGGCACGGATCATCCCAGCGGTGATGGAATGGACTTTCCGTCCTTGGAGTGGGGATAGGGGAAGTCTTGGCTATTCAATCATTGAAGGGGCAGAGACAACAAAGTCCTACGGAGAACTTCTCCATGGGAAAGCGAAGGTAATGATGGCTGTCGTGTAGATCCAGCGGCCCGGTTGCTTATCTCGGCGTTGTGGTAGTCATACAGAGTATCTATCAACATTCAGGGTCTGAGTGGTTGAGTGGTCCGCCGACCTGAGGCTATTCCGTCCTTCACGGTACTGATTCGTAGTATAGTGTGCGCACACATACATACATACATACGTATATCCATCAATTGCAACACATACAAAATTTCCACAATATCACCTACAGAAAGGAAAGAAGAGCGAAATAATTATACCCAATCTCATCCGCGAACCATCCATCCACTGCTTCGGATTTCTTTTCCACAAAAAAAAAAAAAAAAAACAAAAAAAAAAAGAACAAAAAACAAAGCATACTCCGTAAAACCCCACGCAGAGGCATCCACTCAAACAATCAATCAGGTAGATGAAAAGCCAATCACCATTGGCAATCACCATTGGGAAAGGAAGGGCACATCAACAAATCCGCCGATGACAATTTCATTTCATTTCGTTCCACCAACCCTAGACCCAGTCAAGTCCCAAGTCTCCTCAACATGTGCCCATAGCGCCTCATACCCTCATACTAGTTATCCTTTCACCTACACTAGCTTACTAGATAGCGCTAGCCCCTTAAGCTACAGTACCTATTTATAGCATGACGTTACTTCATAGTTAGTTCATAGTTTATACTGCTTGTGAGGTCTAAAAAAAGCGCACTGGTTAGGTCAATAGTGTTTGCTAGTAATTAGGTAGTTGGGTATGGGGTATGGAGTAGACACGTAGATGGTAGATGATGTGTTATCTATCTACCTAGCTAAGGAGAGGGGGGTAACGGTGATCGCTATGGTTTTATTACTACTAAGTACTAACTCACGTTGAACTCCACATGTAACCAGGCTTTAATGTGAAGGTGTGTATAGACTTATGGAGAACATAGGTGGTAGATAGTATATGGGGTACTACTGGTAGTAAGTAACCCCTGTCCACGCAATGTGATATTCGGACTTGTTGAGCTTGTGGACTGGCGTTGCTAGCTACCTAACTAACTGGTTTGGGGCAATGCTGCCCCTGGCTGACTGGGCTATTTAGCAATTACCCATGGACTATATCCGTGATCAATCAATCTATAATTGCTATCACAATCACCATTATCATTACCAAATACTAGATCACATTCATTGCGCGAGCGCCTCAGCCCGGGGCCGTTCATCGCTAGGCTCGCGCGCCTGCTCCTCTCCCCGAGGTACGCCCACCTCTTCAACCGTCGTACTCGCGCCCTTGCTATCGATGAAATGCGAGATGCGGTTCCGCGGCAGCCAAGCCTCCTCTGGCATGACCACGTACGAGATCAGAGCGAAGACAGTCACAGAGGCCATGATGATAGGTGCGTCTAAAACAGTTAGCACATAGTGTAAGCCAGCAAGTAAGATGGGAGAAGTACAGTTGAGATTCGCCCCAGACACAGGAAATTGATAAGGTGAGAAGAGCACGGCCACTACCCACCCGTTCCAGAACACTGCGATGAACTGGAACGGCTTGCTCCAGCGTCCCAAGCTCCACTGCGGCTTCGGGAACCGGTGTGGTGTGCAGAGCAGCCGCGCTAGGCAGATTAGGCCGTATGCGGCGGCGCTGGGTACGCCGGCCGCTGAGACTAGTGATGTGAAGGCTACGTCGGAGGGCAGCAGCGTGCAGGTGATGATGGCGCCTACGGCCCAGACGACGACTACGGCGTTGCGTGGTTGGCCATTGTTGACACGGGATACCCACGATGAGAAGGGGAGGACGCCGTCTCGCGCGACGGCGAAGACTAATCGAGAGGCGGCCACGATGGCTATCGCGGTGTTCTTGTTGTTGTTAGTTGGGGGTGGCTGACAACGAAGGGCACAACTTAATATGGGGACGTACGAGCCACAGGGCGACAACACATATCACGATCATGAAGACGTGGCCGCCTTTACCTAGCACTGCGGCGTAGAGCGGTACGAACGGCTGTGAGGAGCCGAATTCGAAGAGTTTCGCCGGGCCGGGCTACTACTGTCAGTATTGAAGGGAAAAAAAAAAACCGGGAGACAAACCGCGCAAAAGAGAAACAAGATGATGGTGGCGAGTCCACCGAATCCGCTTGCTATTGTGCTCCAGAAGATACCTCGTGCGGCCGTCACCGAGGCGTGCTTAGTCTCTTCGGCGACGTGCCCCGAAGCGTCGAACCCGATCAGGATACCAGCCGTGGCGAGATACGACAGACACCAATTCCATCCGGGAGGGGCGCCCGTGCCATTATAGGTCGACATGAACGCCTCCTCCGCTGTCCGGAACCCCCAGGTGTTGTGAGTGCCGATCGGAAGCCAGACTAGGTTGAGAACGAAGTCCAGCATGACGATCATCGAGGAGAAATAAAAGACGAACCGGAAATAGCGGGCTTGTACAATCGTGAGTATTGGTGAGGGACAGACAGCGAGACAGCTTACGAGGCATAAAATTGAGGAGCGCAGCCAATGCCAGCAGCACCTCAGTGCAGATCCATTGGATTGCACGGAATTTGACATCGCTGGTGTCTTTGGGGAAATCGACGTTGAACACGGTCAATTCCTACAACCTGTTAGCGATCGAATTGTCCATCAGAGAGGAGAGAGCTCACAGCCAACATGTAGTTGACCGCCGATTGAGTGTTGCTGGCACAAAAGGTGGTCCATGCCGTCGTGCTCCACCATGCGACGATGAAGCCAAGGAGCCGTCCAAACCGGGGACCACCGGCTTCCGCTGCCCATAAATAGATGGAACCTGCGGATGGCGACGCGGAACAGACTTCCGCTATTACGGCAGCCGTGATGAAAGTGAAAACCATGGTGACAAGGTAGCTCGTCCTTCATATCGTCAGATCGGTGCAATCCCGCCGCTGGACCAATACTCACCAGTAGGCTAAATTCCCACCAGCCATGATTCCGGTACTGAAGGTGACACGAACCCCACCGATGAAGTAAAGCGCGGCTAGACATGTTAGCAGGAAATCTCCGGCGATCCCGAAATTTGGTTGTCCTACCAAAGGTGGTTGCAAAATTCTCGAAGAAACTATACGTCCGATGCAAGACCTGAACATTTTCTCAGCCACGAAACAGTTCTCTTGGTTCTGCTTGCCCGGCTTCCCGTGACTCACCGGCTTGTAGCCCATCGTTTTCTGCGAGATGTTAGCATTGTACATACAATCGAACGGCGGCAAGATTAGGATGGCACATACCAACAATGCTGCATCATCTTGGGATTCGCGCTGGCTTCTGTCCTCTTCTCCATCGTTGAGGGGATCCTGATCGACGAGAGAATCCTGCTGTTGGACGGTCGGCGGGGCCATGGCCGCGACGTCTGGGTACATGCTTCAAGATGGGAGGATGAAAGGACAGAGACACCACCGCACCGAAGACACCGTTCCTGTGGATGACTTTGAGTTTGTCGTTGATGTCAGGAACAGGTCAGGTCCCGTCAGAAAGCGGAAAAACGAAATGGAAAAAAAAGTTTTCCGGCTCCTAAAGCTTACACCGAAGCTTTGATGGGGAACAGGATAGGAAAGGTCTAATCCGATCCCATGGCTTTTCGCCTACCAATGGTATCGCCGAGGAAAATGAGCGATAATCAGATAAGTACGATCGTTGCTGGATCGGAGATGACTGGTCCGCAAGTTGAAATGATGAAGAGGAACCTGCAAATGAGG